CGACGTGTTAGGAGATGATCTGGTGTGTTCACCACTTCCTGCACTGAATGTCTGTTTGAATTCTCGCAGGTGTCTGTTGTGTGTCGGCCTGCAATCAGCGCCGCTGCTGACTTGCTTTCAGTGCTCCTTGCATTTGGGCTGAGTTTTCCCCTGAATCCGAAGCGGGGAGCAGAGTTTGAAGGGAAAGAAACTTGAACTGCTGGCAATTCCAATCTGCCCAAAGCCCCAGAGAAGCACTGATGTTACTGACGTCCAACGCTGACGCTTGCTGAGCACGCTGCTTGTTCATGCTGACACCCAACGGATGGCTGCGGTCGTTTTAAAGCCTGTAAAACTTGGGGTCAACACAGCTTGTCCACGCATCAGAGCAAACTGTGGGTGAGCAGCTGGGGCAGCGTGGGCTGCCTTTCTCCTTGTTCAATAGCAGTGGTTGTGCTTTTATGGGTCGAAGCCGCGCTGCGCCGGAGGGCAGCAGGGAGCGTGGCAGGCTGTGTTTGACTCCAGGTTTTCTGCTTTCTTGTGGGACGGAGTACCTGCTTCTTTAAATCTGGTTTCTTTGTGGTTGCTGCTCTGTTTTGTAAGCAAGGATTTTTAACACCCTTTGAGGGTAATTAACGTCAATTCATTGACTGGCAACATTTGTTTTGCCGGCTCTTAGTCGCGTGCTGCCATTGAGTCTGGCACGGCGTTGGCTGTGCTTTCCCTTGGGCCCCAAAGTGTGCACCATTGGAGTAACTGTCCTCTGAAAGTCATCTTGGCCAGGGCTGACCGCGTGTACAGGTCCGTATGTGACACCACTTCTGTCTAGAGCAGAACAGATGTAGCAGACTTCAGCTCTCTAATCATATTTGGCATTATGTTGCTCAGGCAGGAGCTCAGTATTCCTTCTGACGTCGCGCGCAGCCAGCGTTCCTTGTTGAATTACTGTGGAGAAAGGATGTCCTTTTTCCTGAATCATTTTGTATAGCTGTGCTTTTATGCTTTGGGGAAAGAACCTCAAATGACTTCAGACTTTTGTTTAAGATTTTAGTAGGGTTGTGTTTTTTTTTGTTGTTGTTGTTTTTAATTGGAAACTTTACGCAACTTCCTTGGCTGCTGGCCAGTGGCTTTGTTTGCTCCAGCCTGGTGCTCGGTCTGCTGCTGCCTGTTACCATCAGCTCTGCGGGTGGAGGCTTCTGGGTTACAAGTCCCAGAGGGATCCTTTAAAGCATTGCAGAGGGAGAAGGGATTTTTATGTGCCGGGCAAACCTTGACCTTCTCCGTTGAAGTGTATGGATGTTGAAGGAATGATTTGGTGACCCTACGGAGGAGAGCTTGGGGTGTCTCGCATCGTTGCAGAGCCATCGAGCTGATGGTAACCGAGGTGAAAGGCCTTAAGTATTAACGTGGAGGAGGAGTGAATGAAAATTGTGAAGACAGGTTCAAAAACTCTGAGGACTCAGGGAAAATGGCTTGGAAATACTCAGTTCCGGGCTTTATGTAAACAGTGGTGAGGGCAGTGCTCCTGTGGAGCCTCTTGCACGCCTGTTGAACAGAAACAAGAGTGGAGAAAATTGCTGCCATGCATAATACAGAGTTTTTGGGGTTCTTTCCCCCTTGTCTGCCCATTTTCTATGGACTTTCTGCAGATTGTGCTGAAGGACAGGTATTCCAATGAATTCTAACCTGAATGCTGGGATGGTTTTTGTGTTACTGGGCTGAAAGCAGAGCGTGTTGTTCAGAGAATGGTTAACCAAGCCCACGCCTGCAGTTCTGGCTGTGTGCAAATGATGGGTGAGAAACACAACTTGAACAGCATCGGCTGCCAATCCTATGGGGTGCATCTTTGCTTTGCCCTCTCCTTTAACGTCGTTAGAATGACAGGGGAGAGCTGAGAGCACGAGAGAGCCTTGTGAGCACTAAATGTGGTGCTTCTGTTGATGTGTTGCCTTCAGGAGATGCTCTCTGAGGAAAGCCAACCCCATTGGCATCGCTTGGGTTGGTTTCTCTCGCGGGTGCTCCTTCTGATTTGTCACGCTGGCTGTTAATGGATTCAGTCTGGTGACCATTGATGCTGTAAGCCTGCTTTAACCTCGGTCCAAAACCAAACGCCGTGCTGCTCGTTGTGCTTCTGTACATGGAAGGTGGCTTCGTTGGAGGTTTCGTGCCCTTGGGTGGTGTTGGTGCTCTTTGAAGTCTGGGTAGAATACTCAGGAAGGCTTTGTCATTCTGTATAATGCAAGGAGGGGGAAATCTGTTGTATGCAATTGTATGGAATAACGTTTTCTTTCCTCCTGCAAGCAAAGCTGGCGGACTGCAGAGGACAACAGCATGGGATACCGAGCTCTAATGGACCTTTGGGAAGAGAAGCTGTGGCTTGAGTGGAATTTACACGGGCCTCTTGATGGAAGAAAGCTTATCTGTTTAGTATTTGTGCATTTTACTAAAAAATGGCAGCTTTAAAAAAAAAAAAAAAAAAAAAAAAAATTTGTGTATCTGCTATTGTGATGCCAATGGCCGTGTTTTAAGTGGAAAAAAAAAAAAAATGACCTCTTTGCTTTGTGCTGTGTACACAAGATTGCTGGAAAAGTAAAGGAATACCCTTTTGATGGCTCACACAGCTTCCCGTAGCTGTCACTCAAACATGCGCTCACAGTTGAGCTGATTTTGTTTCATTCTAAATAAATTGTTTCTTTTGAGGAAAATGGTTTTTCTGCCTGGGAGTGAATTGACAACAAACGTTTGACCCCTTTGTTTGCAGCTGAGGGGTTCTTTGCTGCTGCTGCTGCTCGGTGGCTGAGCCGACGCTTGCGGCTCTTGCGCAGAGAAGCGGGGAGAACGGAGCTTTTGCATTGACCGGCGTGTTTTACCTGCTTGGAAGAACCCAGCATCACCCTTTGGTTTGGCAGCACCGGGCTTCCTTTGCTGCTTCAGTCCTCATCCATACGAGGAAGCGGTGCTGATGCTGGCATGCAAGGAGCAGGGAAGCGGCGCCCTGCAGCACAACGGTGCCCGAGGCTTCGAAGAGCCGGAGTTTGCTGAATGTTGTGTTTCTGATCGGTTTTGGTTCACCTCGCTTGTTTTGGGCTTTTAGTTTTCATTGTGATTTTCATTTTTTTTATTTTTTAAATCGTTTTTTTATTATTATTATTATTATTATTTTTTTTTAAGTTCGAAGAGAGAGAGAGAAAAAAAAAAAAGCTCGAGAGCGCGTTGAAATCTTGCACGTAAAACCTTTACAGCAGGAAAAAAAAAAAAACCAAACCTAAAAACCTGACAGGAGGCGTTAAAAGCGTGTTTAGATGCCGTTAATAAAGCCTGTCCTTCACACGTGGAGCTGCTCCTCCACCTCCGGGCCCTTTGCAGCCGTCCCTTTGCAGCAGTTGCCTCCCTTTGCAGCGGTTGTGCGGTGCTGGGTGTAGTTCAGGACGGACGACGAGTCGGTGTTGGTTAATGTAAAACCTTTGCGTTGGTGTTCAGTGCTGGTTTTGGAGCCCACCCCACCTGCCTCGGATGTGCATGCGCCCTGATCGCGTCCCAGGTACGGCTGCACGTTTGCTTGCGGCCGAGCACGCTGTGCAGTGCAATGGTGACAGGAGGACGGAGGCGGCCCGCCGCGTTTGGCTGCTGTTGTTCTGCCTTCCCCTGGCCGAGGCTCTGCGGTGACTTCGGGGCGCAGTTTGACCGTCGTCGGGATGAAGAGGAAGCTGGCACTGCTGCGTCGTCGCCTTCAGAAACCTCTGGTGTGGTGTTAGGATGAACGTGGCTCGCAGATGAAGACGCCTTGAAACGCAAGCTTGCCCTCATTTGCTTTGACATCCTTTCGCCTGCCGTGGATAAACAACCTGGTGCTGGCCTGTGGCCGTACAGGAGGGCTGCAGGGCCTCCCAGCTGAAGGATGCTGCTCCCGGGGCACGGAGCTGTGTAGATCCCCAAAAACAGGTAAGGGCGACCCCCCCCTCAGAGCTTGGACTGAACTGTGATGTAAAAAGAGGTGGTTTTGTTGTTTGCCTGTTGGTTTTTTGCTTCTCCAGCCTCGGGTGCCTGCTCACTTGTACTAATGGGCTTTGCTCGGTGCTGGGATGAGCCCCGTGTTTGCTTTGGGGTTCTCCTATTTGATGCCACGAGGTTTCCATGCCCAAAGGATGGGTTTTCGGTGTGGGAAAGCAGAGCTGATGTTTTGGCTTTGTGGGCTGAGTCACCCAGGGCACAGCCTTTAATCGGGCTAATTGCAGTGTGGAGCTGTGCGTGCCGATGGGATGCTGGAATGGGTGTCTAAATGAATCTGTTGTCAACGAGAGCATTTTTAGGTATCACCAACGAGGTTTCCAGTCTTGCTGACGTGGGGAGAGCCCTGAGCTGAGGTTTTCTTCCCGCAGTTGGTGTTTGTAGTTCAAATTCGTGCTTTGAAAATGCCTGTGCATGCATGTGCCATTGGGCTGTGAGCTGTGCTGCGACCCAAAGCATTGCACACCTCCAGCTGTGCCCGTCTGCTGTTCTGCTGCTGGTTGTTGTGGTCCTTTTCACAGGTCTGGAGGTCCTATGGGGCGGCTCTGTAACGAGACATTGGTTGCTTACAGAGGGGTGCTGCAGCTGCCAGGTTGGACCCCGGCTTTCATTAAATGCTCTGTGTGCATCGTGTTAATTTGGCTAATGAGACTTCGGGCAGGCAATCAGGGGAAAGTGGATTTGTAAAGAGAACCGTTTAATGAAGTGCACTGCAGCAGGAAGAGATGGGAGCAGAGGAGAAGGGGCAGCAGCTCCTTGGATTCACACCTCCTTTTTTTTTTTTCCCCCAAATTGTGCTTTTCCCAGCCACAGCTCAATTAATCACTTTAAAACATCAGATGGCCCAGCTCCTGCTCTGGGCTGATAACGAGCTGGCTCTGCAGTGAAATGGCAAATGCTCTCTGAGGATCTGCTCTCGCCACGTGTCTGCCCTCGCAGAAGGGAAAGGAGTGGGAAGCGTTGTGGTTCTGTGTTGGCTGCAGGGCTGTGCTTCCCTACAGCTGCCTTGGGGATGGGGAGATGGAGCTGTGGAGGGTGAGGATGGTCAGCTGTGCTTTGCTGTGGGCAGTGCTGGCAGCAGAGGGTGAGGGTGAGATGGCAAAAGCCTCTCTGAGTTTGCAAATCCTTCGTATCCCGTTCCGGCATGGCGTTAATTGCAGTAGGGCTGTGCGGGTGCTGAGCTCCAGGTTAATTGTGGCTGATGGATATTTCATCTACTCGTTTCCCTGCCTTGACCTTCATACCTAGCTCTGCAATCGGATCTGAAGATCAGCCCGTAGCTTTTCAGCTGGCTCCAGTATTTCCTGTCCCCAGACACGGGGGAAGGATCGGGCTGACTGTCAGCACCGCGTCCTGCCCTGTGCTGGCACCTTTCCCTGCAGTGCGATGGGTTTGGTGAGGAGCAGCTCCTCCTGCACGACACTGCTGTGTTTTGAGTACTGCAGAGCTAAGAGCCCTGGGGACGCAGGCAGGGAGCTGCTGTTCCTGCAGCCATGCAGCCCCATTGCCATGTGTGACCACTGCCCTGCAGCGCTTGGGCTCATCCCTCATGCTGCTCCTCTCCCTGCTCCCTATCTCTCCTCCTAAGGCAATAAAAGCAGTGCAGACACGTTCCCAGCTGTCACGGGGCTGGTGACAAATACCTCTGCTCTTCCTCATGGCCTTTGCTTCGTCCTCTAGGGTTTCCTTCCCCTGCTTGAATGAAGGCTCGAGGGCTCAGGATGGGTCCTATGGAGTGCTGGGCGTGTGGGCACCTCCCAGCCCTATCTCACCCATGTGAGAGATATCTGCAGGGGAGAGTGCTCAGAAGCTCAGGAGCCAAAGTCTGCATCACTCCAGAGTGGGGACTTTGGTCCATTAATGACTTGTGAAATTGCTGGTGGGCATGGATGTGAGTTCGTGGTTTTTGAGGTTACTGCAGGCTGGAAGGCCTTTTCAGTGAGCATTGGGCTCTGTAAGCTTAACCCAAAGCTAGAACTTACTTTATCAAACACGTCCTTTTTTTTTTTTCTCCTTCTTCTCTTTGGTTTCCATTAGGGCAGCTGATGAATTCCCGTCACCCTCAGTGAAAGCAGCTCTCCTAAACTTAAGGGCAGCTTTCCCAGGTGTGAGAGAGGAACTGAAGCAGCGGGAGGCTTGGTTTGTTCTGGCTGTGAAAGCGTGCTGTGTTGGATGCGGATCTGGGGGGGGGAGAGTTGCACGATGCTCTTTGAAAACAGCAGCATTTGAGGTGTTGAATATCAGAGGATCACAGCACGGGGGAGGGTGGGATGGAAGGAGCCCACGGCCCCCGGCCACTTTCGCATGGACCAATTCCCATGTGCAGCAAGGATTCGTGCAGAGTGCTTTCTGATGCCGGCTGCAGCTGCATCCCAGCAGCTTCCTTCTCCCAGCTCCTGCAGAGCCCTCAGGGCAGGATCAGGTCTGTGGGAGCTGCTGCTCTCTGGGAGCAGCTCACTGAGTGATGGCAGTGCAGCAGTTTCCCCTCGCGCTCCCTGGAGGTGGTTTCACTGATGACCTCTGCTGCACCTTTTTGCGAAGGTTTTCAGCTTCCTCAGCTGTGGTGGGGATTTTACAGCTAGATTTCTATGGCAATTGCTTTGCCAAAGCAAAGCCCACCGTGCAGGGCTGCCTTTAGGAAGCTCTTTGTAAGAGGGCTTCAGTGGGATAGAGGATGTTCCTCTGGGCAGATGTTCCCGTGGTCGCTGTGATGTGTGCGTTGTGCGTGGATGGATCAATGAATGGCTCTGCTCCTCAGCCATGCGAGGAAAAACTAAAGCATCTGTTCTGTGCTTGCCTCCTCAGCAAAAGGTTTGAGAGGAGAGGAGTGGATCTGCACAGGTTGTCCTGAGCTGCAGCGAGGAAGGTTTGGAGCTGTGTGTCAGCTGGGACAGCGTGGGGCTCCTGAGCTTTTCGGATGGAGATGAGGAGGTGATCAGGGCACAGGAGAGGTGCCTTGCCTATGCTGAGTCATTTCTGGGCTGCTGGTGTCAGGCTGTGGGTTGGGTGCTGCAGGAAATGGGGGATTCAGAGCTGTTTGCAGAAGGGGGTTGGGGTGCAAGCATGATGGAGACCCTCAGTTTTCCTAAATAAGAGTAAGGAAGCAGTGGTGTGGGTCACTGCGTTGGAGAGCATCTCTGCTCCCACGTCGCTCTGATGGTTGGGTCTTGCACCGCTGGGCAGCGGGAAGCAAAGCGCACGTGTTAGAGGTGCAGGATGAGACTGAAGGGTTGTTGGGTTTTGTTTTAGTTTTTAAGCTCTTGGATTGGAAAGAGCACAAGGGGAGAGTATGGGAGAGGAAACCCAGGAGGTGAGGGCTGCAAAGCAATGCACCCTGTCCTGCTGCAGGTCGGTTCTCAATGGGGAAGAAGGTGAGAATGCAGCAGTGCTTGCTTGGGAGAGGTTAGAGCATGCAGTAAGTGGATGCTGCAAAGCAGGCAGAGAGGTCAGTGCAGTGGACTGAGGCTGTGGATCAGCTCTGTTCCCTGCATTTTATGATGCTGGGTAGCAGGAAGCACAGCACGTGTGTTTGAGGTGAAAAATGAGAGGGTTGTGGCTTTGTCTGAAGCTCTTGATTTGGAGAATCTGAAGCCAAGTGTAGAGCAGCACAGCCCAGGCGGTTCCTATTGCAGCAGCAAACATAGCAGTCTTAATTTGTTCAGCAGGAACGCGAGTAGGAGCTTGAATATTGCAAGAAGTGAAAACTTAAATTTGCCAATGAAAGCTTAATCTCTGCTGCAGCTGTCAGCCCAATGCTCAGGGCAGGACTGGCTCACAACCGATCACAGTGGTCCCACTCACCCCTCTTTATCCCCTGGTGCCTCATCTGTTCTGCTTCAGCCTGACAGCCCTGTTGCTCAGAAGCTGACCCACTGCAGATCCTCCCCCGGCCCCAAGGATGAGCTGGCACAGCTGAATCACGTGCTATAAAGGTGCAAAGGACAATTGCTGAAGCAGGTGCTGCCTGTGCGTTTCTGCAGGAGATGGGCAGGTCTATGAAAAGCAAGGCGTTTGTACCACTGATACTCCCCCATTGACTGCAGATTCAAAGCTCTCATATTTCCCTCTTAAGCATGCACGATTTCTTTGGCATCACTTAGTTGTGTGCCCACTGAATTTGGCCCATTACCTGCGAGCCAATGTTCCTCCCTGCAGCTCCTCGACACCACTGCAGCTTTTTGTGCCCTACAGACCACTTCATCTGTGCTTGGAATCGCCCTGCAGTTCGAAGTAATGTTCCTACAGGGGAACAACACCCCTCATCCATCCAAATGGAAGCGTGGGGCCAACATGTGGGGCTGGGGCTTTGTGGGTTCTGCTGCTTTGGGGGGAGAATCCAGATGGATGGGTGTGATTCTGCCCTACTGTGCTCCTGGCTTTAAGGAGAGCAGGTTCAGCTCTGAGCCCTCTGCTGTGATCATTCATGCAGTGCCCAGCTGTTACTGCATCCCGTTGGAAGTTCAGATCTTCTCTCTGCTACCTATCCCTATTCCTGCCTCCTTCCCTGCTGCTAATTAGCAGTATCTGAGTTAATAAGCTAAAGCTCCTGCTGTGCTTCGGCTCTTGGTGGATCCCAGCAGCGGGGTGGGGGTGTAGGGCAGGAGCTCAGGGGTAGCCCATATCCTCAGCCCTGCCACAGAACGCTTCACACTGCATGTTTTGGTGGCTTTAATGACACATCTGGACGCGCTAGCTGTGCGTGCAACATCTAACAATTCTTGCTTTGACATTGCAGGTCTGTGCTGGCAGGCGTCTGGCTGTGGCTGCAACCAAAGCCAGTCCTTCCCGAGCTGCCCTGCAGGATGGCTTCACTCTGCATGGGAACGTTGGCTTTCTGCAGCTTCCACCTCTGGGCCAGCGGCTCCAAGAAGAAGGAGACAGGAGAGAGCAGAGCACAGGCACCAGCAAAGAGGAACGAGCAGGCGTAAGTCTGCGTGTAGTCGTACAGCCACCCTGCAGGAGAGGAGATGGTTATTGAGGCTGTTGGGTTGAAAACCGCTTTGGGGAGATGTGTGGGAAGCAAGGGATGTGTGCTGTCCTTTAAGAATGCCTCAGATATTTTCTGCAGGTTGCCTTAACCCTTTGTGGCTGTGTGGCTGGCCGGCAGGCAAGGTGTTCTTGGGACCGACATTGCCAGCCCCTTGTAGGGGATGTGAGTTTGCATTGGATTACGTTTAATCCCCAACATTTTGCTTTTTCCTTTTTAACCACAAGGGCCAGAAGTAGCTGCTGCAGCAGATGTGAGGTCCTGCTGGATAATGAGCTGCTTTGCACGTGTTGGGCTTTGCAACATCTGCGCCGCAATCTCTGCGTTCCCCCAGGCATTTTGAGCACACCCAGTGCAGCAACCTGTCCAAAGTGAGAGATCCCAGACGAGGGGCTGCGAGCAAACTTGCTTAATAGTAGCTTTGCTGGCACTTGAAAGGAAAACCTGAATTCCACAGAGACTCAGGAATATGCAGAGGGGCAGGTCGCCTTTTAAAGTGACCTTGAAGTGTTTTGTTTGGTTACGTCTAGTTTCTGGACCTTCAGATTTAAGTGTGTGTATCATCTATTATCTGGGTCTTTCATTTAATTCTTCCTGCTTGAATCTAAAATATGCAAAGCAATTGGAGCTGCTGCTGCCTGTCATAAACCCTGCAGTATAATCCCAAACCTGGCATCCGGATGTGTGGGGTGGGTGAGCAGCACAGTGACCAACGGAGCTCAGAGCTGCTGCTCATGTGGAGCAAAATTCCTTGCGTGACATCCATGGATTTACACCACTGACAGCAGCAGCTTGGGATCCAGATAGACCAGAAAACAGCAGCAGCAGAGCCTTGTTCCCAGCATTACCTGTGGAATTGTGGGGAAGGAAGCAGTGCTGCTCAGTATGGGGTGACCAAAGGGGACAGATGCCAACGCTTTCCTTGCTGGCATTTGCAGAGCCACGGAGGGCTTTGGGGAAAGGAGGTCTTGCACAGTGCCCTGTGGGCTCACCAGCTTTCAGTTTCACTTATCCCATGCCTTTGCCAGATCTCAGCTCTGTTGTTTTTGCTTTTTCTCAGGGATATTGCTTGAGCCCAGGAGTGCCTTTCCAGAGGGCAGAGCCCAGGGAAGTGCAGTGGGGAGGATGTTCCACGTGCTCCCCCTGCGTTGTGCAGGATGGGCTGTCATCAGAGGTGGGGTCAGCTTCTGCTCTTTGAAGATCTATGGGATGCAGACCAGGGATGCTGGCGTTGTCAACCGTACAACGCAGACATCCAGAGCACAGCATTCCAGCTGTGATAAGCTCTGAATCTTTTTATTATTACTTTTAAAATCTTCGTGATCATTCTAAAAGCGGGATTTTTCTGGTTGTTTTTTAATATACAGAAGCTCTGCTGAAGCCTCAGTGTCCCCTCCTGGCTGGCAGTGCCATGCAGGTGATGCTCTGAGCACAGCACGTCCTTTCAGAGCCTGTGTGCCTCTCCCTGAGCAAGAAGGGCCAAATCCTGCTGCAGGGAGCTGAGTGCCTGCAACACACAGCAGAGTGATGGTTCTGCAAGCTGGTTGGGTTGTTGGAATTGCAGAGCTTCTCTGTGAGGGGCCTGGCGCCTCTGGGTTTTGTTTGCTGCACATTTCCTAACAGCAATGCCTAGCACAAAGGCAGCCATGCTGGAGGTGAGAGCATTTAAATCCCTGTGCCAATGCTGCTTTCAGATGACTCCTTCCTCTCCTCCTTTACCTCCCACGTTTGTTGGAGCTGGAGTTGCTGTGTGCTGCCTGCTGGAATCAGTTTTGTGGTCTTGAATTACATCGCTTGTTTGGTGATGGTTTGTTTTTTTCCCCTTTTGCAGTTTGTTACTGATTTCTCCTCCTCAGGAAATAGGTTGTGCCTTCTCCTTGGCTCTCTTGTAGCTTGCCAAAATGATGTTTGTTCTGCCTTGTTCTGCTGTTCAGGAGTGCAGGAGCACCCAGCTATGAGGAGCCTCAGCCCTGGCTTAAGGGCTTGCAGTTAAACAGATTTGCACGTAAGTCACCTCTTCATTGCACTGTGATCAGGCTTTGCTCTGCTGTGCACAATAAGCATTTATAACCTGTGTCTCCCTCATGTTGTGGCTTCCACTGCAAAAACGATGCAAGCTGAGCTTTTGGGGTCAGCATTTCAGGGAGGTCAGCAGCAGTGGGATGCACTGAAACCCCCAAGGTCTTTCTTAGCACTTCAGTCCTGTTGTGTGTTCTGCAAGGAGCAGCTGCTGTTGGAAACAGGGAGTTAGCAGGTAGTCCCAACTGGTTTTCATGTTTCCTATGGCAGTGTCAGGGCATTGCAGTAGAAAGCATGGGAAAACTACAGCAAAAGGAAAACTGTGGTGTGCCACAAACCTGGATCCGAGCTGTGACTCATTTCCCTCTCGCCCTCCTTGCAGTGAGGTGGATCAGTGCGACTCCTTGGCTTTGTTGGGCCTCGATTTATCCCATCTGGTTGGAGAAGGCTGATCTCTGTATGGGGCTTCTCACCGAAAGCCTGCTTGCTTTGCAAAACCCAGACCCATCCTCGCATCGTCAGGAAGCAGAAGGCTTCCAATTAGCGAAAATAGATTGGAAGCAGAGGGAAAGCATAACCACTGCATGATGCATGGATGAAGGAGAGCCAACTTACTTAGCTCTTTTCACACCGTATGTTATTCTGTCAGAAAATTTCCTGCGCTGGTTTTGCAGGTATTGCTTTCTGCTGGACGTACATCTTGTATCAGCAGAAGAGATCTTCTCCAGCTCGGGCTATGGATCACTGTGACAGAGTAAAGCATGCTGTCAATGAAACGCTTTAGCTGCTCCAAATTGCATCCATACCCAGAGTTTGGCCAACCTAGAGATACTGATTAGGGAAATCAATCTTTCTCGTGCCTGCAGCATGGCAGGGCTGCTGGAGCTCTGCAGCACAGAGGTGGTGTCACGGAGCACTGACGCAGGGCTGTCTTCCTTCAGTCCCTCTGTTTCTGGTTCAGTATTAACAGTGCCCTGATCGTGGTCAAACCCAACGGTAGTGAAGTCAGTGCTGCTGTGCTGTGGGTGCTGAGCTCCTTTCCCATGCAGCTGTCACACTGTACATTCATGAGCAAAACTGTTTCCTGTGCACAAAGCTGACGGTTCTCAAACGTGTTGTGTTTTATCTGCTTGGACAGAAAAGCCATCCGTGGATGTGTACGGGTAGGAGGCTGATCCAGAAGAAGGTTTTACTACTGGATGCTGGTGGTGGGTATGTGAGATGTGAAAGGTTTACATTACCTGCGAGAGGAGGTCCGCCAACAGCTGCTATCCCAGCAAAGAAGGAAGCAAAGCCCAAATAGCTGTGGAGTTTTTGCACGCCGACCAGGTCGACCTGTTGGTGTAAACGCAGGTAAATAGCGGGAGGGTCGGTGGGAAGCACTGCAGACCTTTTGTGGAGAAGTTCATCTCCGGATGCTGTGGGGTTTGGGGAGGACTTTGCACCTCCGGCTCTGACTCAGCCTGGAATCTGCTCGCCTCCCGAAGGTCAGCGCTGAAATTGCAGCGTGCAAAGTGCACTTCTGTCTTCCCACCGTTTGGGTGCATCCTGAGAGGGCAGCCAAGCTGCGAGGATGTTTCCCTATCCAGATCCCACTGTGGCCGTTCTGTGAGTGTTACAGACAGCCCAAGGGTTGGGACCACGCTTACAGCCCTTTGGCTTTGCATTACAGGGTAGTCAATGAATGGATTCATCCTGCTTCCTATCAGCTTTTAGAAAGGAGGATGCTGAAGGCAATTGAAGAGGCTCCCAGTGCTGCTGCTGCTTCCCATTGCCAGGGCTGGGCAGACTGGAGCCCTGCCATAGGGATTTGGGGGCATTGCCCTGTCATTGCAGCCCAAAAGAGCACACCGGGGCTCTTCAGCCTCACAAAAATGTTGTTATGTGTTTTGGAATGCTGTTAGAAATACCATACGTTTCTATTTTGTTCCATATTATATTCCATTATATATATATGTAATTTAAAACTGAAATATCCTCACCAGCACAGGGAGCACCAGAGCCAGGAATCCACCGCAGAAGATGGCGAAGGCCACAGCGTAGGTCATGAGCAGAGGGAAGGTGGTGGCCAGGGGGCAGAGCAGGTTGGTGACACCACAGAGCACCAGGTAAGCTGCGTGGTAATGGTACTTCTTGGTCCAGTTCTGGTCTGCAATCCATCCTGAGAGCAGCTGGCTGCCCGTCTCGGTGATGCCTGCAGGAAGAGCTCACTGAGCCTCAGGGAAAGGTTTCTTACATAGATATCGATCTTTTCCCCAACTTTTGGTGCTTGTTTCCACATTTTTGGATGCGTTTGTTAAAAGATCAGAGCAGTGGGGGCTGTCAGCTCTCAATTAGGGGCGTCAGGTTAATTGCTGTGCGCTCCTCCTCGATTCCTTCACAACATTACCTCAATTCTACGCGCTGCACAGCGCTGTGGAAGGAAGATTTATTTTTATACAATAAAATGTTTTATGATGACTGAGGCTGGGGCCGTTTTCTTGCCATGATGTGACTGCGGTGTTTGTGTCGTGTTCTTGGGGGGGTGGAGGGCAGCTTTTTCTTACCTCCCCCCAAGAAGCGAATGTGCCCAATGCTCAGATCCAAATTAGTGGTGGCTTCCTTCCCTTCCTTCCCTTCCTTCCCTTCCTTCCCTTCCTTCCCTTCCTTCCCTTCCTTCCCTCCTCTTATATCCCCTCTCTGTGCACTCCGTGGTCAGACTGCAGGTCTTTGAATGCAGAATGCATTTCTGTGGTTTTCGTGGGTCTGAGCAGAGCAGGGACAGCTGGGAGGACAGGGCCCACACCTAGCAGCCTGAAACCTGCATTTGTTCCCTGCAGAAGGGTTGGCTGAGAGAACCACCCACCATCTGAGAGCAGCTCTATCCATGTGCAGCAAGCAGTGCTATATATACAGAAGGGAGTAAGGGCTGTGAGCTCAGGCTCTTCCGTGAGGATTTATTTTAGAACACATCTCGGGAGCGTTTCTTGGCAAGATGTGTGTTGCATTGCTTGCCTATTTTGCAATTATAAAGGTGGTTAAAAGATTCTCTTGCCTACCGGCCACTGAGATGAAGTAGGAGGCATCCATGCTGCTTATGCCCAACGTCCTGGCTCTGGCTACCAGGTGGATGGTGGGCACGAAGTAGGCCAGGTGGCTGAACAAGAAGGACCAGGTGAAAATGAAGAAGAGGGGATCCTTTAGGGGGGAGAAGTCAATGAGAGGCTGTGGTTTCTCCTCTTTGAGCGCCGGGAGGGAGCTGCAGCTCTTTGTGGCCTCGCTGATGGTTTCAGGGCAGCAGCTGGCAGTGGAGGCTTTCCCTGGTGCTGCTGTGGTTACTGCACCAGTGCTGCAGGGCTCTGTGCTGGGAAGGTCCTGAGCACTGCATGGCTGTGCTGCTCCATCAGTGGCTTCCTCGAGGGCTCCTGCTTCTCCTTTGGGCACTGAGCTCCCATCCTCATTGCTGGCTGGGGGGCAGGGAGGCAGCTGGGTGGGGACGGGGCGCAGCAGCATGCTGGAAGGCACGAGGTTCAGCATGATGCCACTGAAAACCAGGAGAGTACCTGCAGCAAGACAGAAGGGGCTTTTTTAAAATGCATTTTGCTGGGAGAAAACGGGGGAGAAGGAAGAAAGGATGTGATTTGTTGTGAGTGTGAAGAAGGAGGTAGGGGTGTCGTGCAGGAGCCTTTATTTGGGCTTTTCTACCTGGAAATCCCTTTATAACACATGCAACAAGTTCAGAGCTTTGCTTGCATTCATTGGAAGTGCTGGACTTTCAAGGTGATGGAGCACAAGTCGGGTTTTCTGTGTTGACTCTGACATATTTAATGACTTTACTAAGCGTTTAATCATCATAGAATAACTACAGCTGGAAAAGACCTCCAAGATTATTTAGTCCAACCACCAACCCATCACCACAGGGATGCTCCAAGAGAGGCAACGCCGCTCCTCCTGCCCTCCCACTGAGCTGCATGCAGGGCAGGAGTTGTGCTCACCCTGCCAGCCATAGGTATCGATGAGCAGCTGCGTGAAGGGTGCAGTCAGGAAGGTGAGGCCCATCCCTGAGCGTGCAATGGCATTGGAGAAAGCCAGCCGGGTCCTGCAGCGCTTGGCCGTCATCACTGCTGCTGCCTGGTATAGGCAGCAGAACCCCATGCCTGGGAGCAAACACAAGGGGTCAGTGGCAAGGCTGGGCCATCCTGAGCTGATTTTCTCTATGATGGAGGTGAGAGCAGGGTTCTTCTTGCTGGCTGAGAATAGGATTTCATGCACAGTGTGGGTTTTTGACACTGGGCGCTTTTGCTACGAGTTAAAGAGGGGAGGGATCACAACGTGTGTTGGATGCAGGGAGGAAAGCAAGGTTGCTTTGGTCTGGCTTGTGTTGGATGTGGGATTTTGTGCTCCTGGGTGTGAACATTTGGGGTTTCACGCAGCGTCTTGTAGAAAGGGGCTGGGGATGGCCAAGGGGCAGGGACAGCGGGGACACAGCCTGGGTTAAGGGAGCTGCCACTCACCCAGCAGGAGTCCCATGGAGACACAAAGGAAGGGGACACTGGTGGCCTGTGTGCTGAGCAGGCAGCCCCCACTGACCAGCCCAGCCCCGAGGATGGAGGTCGGCCGCTCACCGATCCGCCTGCAGACCACGGCCACCAGTGGGGCTGCATGGGAAAAGAGGCAGAGCTTGGTGCCCAAAGAGCCCAGATCCCCCTGACCTCCACCCTTCAGATACTGATCAGATCCCCCTCAGCTTTCTCTTCCCCTGGTGAACAGCCCCAGAGCTTTTCCACATCAGGAGTTGCTCCAGGCCCCACCATCTCTGCAGCCCAGTGCTGGGCTTTTTCCAGCAGTTCTCTGGAGCTGGGGAGCCCAGCACTGCATGCAGCCCTGCAGATGGGAGCCTCTCCAGCGCACAACACAGGGGAGAAGCGCCTCACTCCCACTGCTGGCCAGTTGTACCCCAGGGAACCATTGGCACTGGCCTCATGGGCACGCTGCAGGCTCGTGGTCAACTGTTGACCAACCGTTGGTCAACCAGGACCTCCAGGTCCTTCTCTGCAGAGCTCCTTTCCAGCAGCTCAGCCCCAGCCTGCGCTGATGGATGTGATGTAAAGCAGCTGTAGGTGAGGGACCTGAACCTGCAGCACCCTCAGGTCCCTCCCCTGCAGTGCAGTGCTCACCTCCTAGGAAGCGCAGTGAGGACATGATGGAGCCGATCCAGCTGATCTGCTCTGAGGAGCCCCCCACATCCTCCTGGAAAGCCACGAAGAAAATGCCAAAGGTTTTCAGCATTCCCATCACGAACACATTGACCTGTGTCAGAGCAGGACAGGTGAGGTGCTGCAGGGGATGGATGTGCTCCCTCCTTCTGGGTGATTGCCTTTGGGACAAGTTAAGGAGTGCTGGGGAAATACCAGTGAGGTTCCTGCGACTTGGGGTTGAACCTCACTTGACCCCGTGCAAAACTGGCTTTTCCAGAGCAGCAGAACAAAATGACATCAGAGCTTTGCTTTGCTCTCTGATGAATTAATTTCTGAGCGGGTCTCAGTGGTTGCTCCCTTCCCAAAGGACAAAGGCCAGCTGGTGCCTCCTGGCCCAGGGCTGGAGTTAACCATTGCCAGCTATGGAAGGCAGCATCATGCTCTTTGCTCTGCCTGTCCTCCTGTGGCAAAGCATTCGCTGCCTCTGAGCCTTCCCCTAAATTTTCGCCATTAGTTGGATGGGATCAGGCCATCCTGAAGCTTCCCACATACCCCAAAATTCCAAAGGTGTGGGGTGAATTTGTGCTCTGCTTACCAGGAAGAAGTGCAGCACCGCTGCCCATGCCCACCTTCGGTCCATGCCTTGGCTCCCATCTGCCTTCACTGCTGGTGGCTCTGGCTTTCCTTCTTTCCTTTCCCCTGGGAGTGAAATTTGGGGTCCATTAACTCCATGCTGTTGTGGTTATCTATGAAGCTTCTCCCAGGAGAACCCCTCTGGTCCTTCTCTGTGAGGAGATGGGGAGCAGCATGTTGTGCTCCTCTACAGCACGTTTTTAAGGACCGAAAATGCTACCAATCTTTTTGTTCGCTCTCACAGTATCACTGCTTGCACGCAGCTCAGCTTCTTTTCTCCTCCCTAAATTGCTGAAGGCACAGTAATTAAGCACTTTCCCTGCTGCTTTAGAGCACGGGGTTGGGTTGGTTTGTGCTAAAAGCAGGGGGCTCTGTTTGCCCCATCTTTCAGCCCCTGGGGAGGCTTTCCCTGCGCACTTTCTTCCCATCCACCCATCTATCTGTCCCATACGTCCAGCAGCAGCGGAGCCAACAAACCCGACCCCTTCCTTACCGCCTTGCTGCTGCATGCTGGCAAACCTTCCCCGAAGCTGCAGAATGCACACAGGAATCTTCTCGTCATTTGCTCCAGAAATGAAGCCCCCCCTGCTCTGGTTGCCACCCTCTGCCCCCAGCCTGGCCCTGCCGTCGCGTCTCCGGCAGAGATGACGATCAACACAGAACCGAGGCAGGACTTCTGCTGTAAGCCTTCCTCCTCCCTGCTGCTCCAGGCCAGGAGTCCCTCCCCTTCCCCGTCCGGGGCGATGGCAGAGCAGAATTCCTGCCTGGAGGAAACGGAGCCGCCTGCAGGGATCCGACCGAGTCTCCGTGTCCGGTTGCTGGCACTGATGGATGGAAGCCAAAGCTGTTGGCCCAGCCCAGCCCTGTGGCCCCAGGAGGAGGAGGTGAGCCGCCACCAGGGCAGCAGTGCTGAAATGGGGTAATGCTGCGGGTTTGGGGTGGCTGTCTGTCCCCATCCCTGCTTTACTCCCTCTTGCTGTGGGATCCTGGGGCAGAGCTCTGGAATAAACAGGGATTATCATCCTGGGGTAAACAGGACGGCGTGGAGAATCTTCCCCTATGGTTGGGCTTTCAGCACATGAATTGAGCTTTTATGCATGTGGGATAGCGTTTGCAACGTGTGCTACGAGGGCTTGGGGTGCCCGGGGTGCAGGGTGGGAGCATCTGAGGCCAAACCTGTGTTCCAGGTACCCAGCAGCCCTGCTAATGAGGTCCCAGGGCTCGTTAAAGGAGAGCTGAGTGCCCGCTTCTGTGCTCACACCCCTTTAACTTTTGCTTTTTGAGGAGCCTGTGGCTCTGTAGGTTCGGGGCTATTTAAAATGGGCATCTGCAAGCTGTTTTGAGGAGATGAGCTTGGAAACTGAGCATTAAAGAAAAGAAAAGGGAGGTAAATAATGGGCACTGTGCAGCAGCGCTCACCTCCCAGAGCAGCCAGGCTGGAGGGAGAGCAGAGCCCCATCCCTGCTGCTGCAGGAGGCATCAGCACCAATCTCACCAGCGCTGTGCAGAGCAGCCAGAGCCTGCTTCATACAAAACAGTGATGGTGAGATTGGGAATGTCAGCAATGAGTGCAGCAGTAAAGCTTAAGTGTTGTGAATGCAGTTTTACCTCCAACCCTGCCCTATTTGTTGGCATATGCTCTACTGCAAGCCAGCTCCTTCCTGCTCCCTTGTGCTGAAGAAGCATTTGAGCAAAACAGATGCAGGGGAAAAGCCTTTCTATGGGAATGACCCCCTGCCCAATTCCAAGTGCTTGAATCTCTAACACGAAGAGAGGATTTGTGAGGATGCATTCAGCATATGTTTACAGGTCACACAAGGAACAGGCAGGGCCAACAAGCTTAGGTTTGAACTTCAATCCAAAGCATAACAATATGCAAGGACTCTCACAGAAAGCCTAACTAGAGGAGGCTAAACATTTCCTAGGAGAAATTCCTAGTGAACTATTTGCACCTCTTCTACCAGAGGAACCTCCCAGTCTTGGTGCACTGCTCCCTTTCTCTACAGCGATGCTAGTGAAGAATAGACTGGGAGAAGTCACCTCATTTGGCTTCAGGGAAAGCAACAGGCAACATTTTTTGCATTGGAATCAAGGAGAAGCAAAGGTTTTCACAGGTCATTTATTGATTTCTCCAACAAATAAGGCCACATGCACGCACACACACACACACCTTGTAGTATCTATCATTACACGAGCTTGGTGAGTGACTCACATTTCATCTTTAACAGCATGACTGCTAAAATGTGAGCTGGAAACCCTGATAGATGCATAGGAGCTGGTAAGTAGAGAGGGAGAGCCTTCAGCCCAGATTTGGTACTAGAAGCATGTTCTGCATTGGAACAGCCGAGGACAGAGGTTGTCCAGTGAGGAGGAGCTGGTCTGGAGCAGAGAGTGGAGCAGCAGGATGCCAGGGTCAGGATGCCAGCTTGTGCACTGCTACGGTGATGCTGTCATGCTTCTGGATCATGATATTCCTAGAAGAAGGAAAGTGCTGTTTGAGGCAGGTGAGAAGCCAGCTGGGAAAGCAGGAGCTGACTTGGCTGGGAAACCAGATGGACAGCTCTGTGCCAGACCTGTCAGTTCTTAGATCTCTTCACCATACCCACAAAGGGGTCTGAAGGAGCCCTGCTAACCACAATGACCCTGCAGCATGGGCTAAATAATGCACATGGATCCCAAAAGCAAAAGAAATATAGTGCTGCAGCAACCACCAACCCCTGAAAGGCTTCCAGCTGCTTCTGCAGTTCCCACAACCCAAAGGCCCATGAATCTGACTGCTTTCCATACCCCCATTAGTGACCACCCTCCCAGCACAGCTTCAGCAATGGGGCTTCCTCCAGGTCTGCCAGTTAAATAGAAGACACTGCTGCTCTGCAGATTTGGGGTGGGGAGGAAAGGAGAGCACAGGGAAGAGCAGCACCCTTGGGCTGGATGCTCACCCGCTATCTGACTCCAGGCACACCACAGGCGTATCAGTTGGGTCGGAGGTGAGCTTGGCTGCCTGCTGGGCGAGCACAGAGATGACTCCAGCATGTTCATCTGAGAGCGTTCCTCGGCCTGCAAGAGGGGAGATGTGAGCCGAACCCATGCATACTGTGATGAGAGGCAGCTCCCCATGCTTGTTTCCTCAGGGCTGTGAGCTGACATAGTGATCCCCAGATCAAAGAATCATTCGAGTCGGAAAGGAGATGTAAAGGCCATCAATCCAACCCCCCTGCAATGAACAGGGACACCCACAGCTCCATCAGCTGCTCAGAGCCCCATCCCCCTGACTTCCAGTGTTTCCAGGGACAGGGCACCCACATCTCTGGGCAACTTATGCCATTGCTTTACTTCTCTGATATTTATCATAAAAATCTTCTTCCTTATGTCCAATCTAAATCTTCTTTCTTTTAATCTGAAACCAACTCCCCTTGTCACAGATACAGCTAAAAAGCCTGTCCACTTCTTTCTCATAGCCCCCCTTTAGTCACTTTCTGGGCTGTGAGAGCACACAACTGGCTCGTGTCCAGCTGCCACCCACCACTGCCCTCAGGTCCCCATCAGCAGGGCTGTGCTCATCCTTACATCCCCCACCTTGTACTGATAGCAGGGCTTGCCACGACCCAGCTGCAGAGCTGCTACTTGGAGTTGTCACCTCTCGTGAGGTTCTCCTGGGCCCACTGTTCAGCCTGCCCAGGTCTCTCTGGAAGGCATCTCAGCCCATAGGTGTATGAACTACAGCCCTCAAACCACCACCAAAACAAACAAAAAAACAAAAAACCAAACCTCATTTAAAGCAATAGGAAAAGCAGGCTGGAGTTTAGAACCATACAATATCCCAAGCTGAAAGGGGGCCACGAGGATTATCCAGGTCAAACTCCCGGCTCCACCCAGCACCACCTGAACACGGTGTCTGACAGCGGTGTAACCCGTGAGACCGACCAGAGGCGCGGGGGATCCCTGGGGGCAATGTGAAGGACCCTGGGGGCAATGTGAAGGACCCTGGGGGCAACGTGAGGGTCCCTGGGGGCTCTGTAGGAATCTCCAGGCCCATCCCCGAGCGCAGGCCCGGCCCGGCGGCGTTCCGGTACTCACATCCCAGGTTGAGGCCCTGCGAGTCGGTGCAGAGGACGCCCACCACGGCCGGGCTCTTCATGCTGCGGGAGAAGCGGCAGTGAGAGGCGGTCAGCCCCGCACTCCGCCCGGCCCCTCCCAACCCCCGACCCGCCCTAGGCCGCGGCTCGCTCGCTCGCTCGCTCGCTCTCCCTCCCTCCTCTCGGCCCCCCTCGGCCCAGCCGTCCCCATCTCCCCCATACGTGTCCTCCAGGTGCTGCTCCAGAGTCCCCTCCATGCCGCCGTACCCCGCACCCCCACTTCCGCCCTTTTAGGAGGCTCCTGGCAGCTGCGTCGGTCACGTGACTCGCGCGTACGGTGGCTCCGCGGGGCCAAAAAGCGAATCCCGCGCACGGGAACCTCCCCGCTCAGCACCGTTTTGTTGCTCCCTCAGCCTTCTCTTATCCAGGCGAACAGCCCCACTGCTTTCTGCCTTTCCCCATCAGGAGATGATCCAGGCCCCACCATCTCTGCAGCCCACCCCGTCTCCTTTGAACTGGGGAACCCAGCACTGGGCGCAGCACTCCAGATGGAGCCCCTCCAGGGCAGGGTGCAAGAGAGGAGCACCTCTCTCATCCCATTGGCCATGCTTTTTGTAACACACCTCAGGGTACCATTGGCCTTCTTGGTCACAGAGGCACGACTGGCTTATGGTCAACTGTTGGCCAAGAGTTGGTCAACCATTGGTCAACCATTAGCCAACCACTTAGTCAGCTGTTGGTCAACCATTAGTCAACCATTAGTCAACATTGGTCAACCATTAGTCAACCACTGGTCAACTAGGACCTACAGGTACTTCTATTCGGAGCTCCTTTCCAGTAGGACAACTAAGTCCAACCCCCTCCACCCAACCCCTATGGTTTTGGGTGCCCTTGCAGCTCAGGGCTGTGCCCACTGCTCTGGGGAACTGTGCCATGCTCACCACCCTAACATCTTTTCCTAACACGCAGCCTGTCCTTCCCTTGACAAGCTCCGTACCTTTCCTTGTCCCCATTGAGTTGTGAGGGCCCCACACCCACTCCCACAGAGGACATGGGGCTGTAGTGGGGTGTCACAGCCGTGCTTGCCCTGCTCTCCACGTGCAGGAGGTGATTGATGGCAGAGCCTGGCGACGCCGGCACTGAGCTGGCTGAAACGCATCCAGCTCACGCCTGGCAATGGATCTCAGCATGTCAGGCTGGAAAATTAAAATATTATTGATGGGGAAAGTGAAGTGCAGTGGTGATTTTTCTTAGTTTTATTTATCTTTTAATTTTTTCCCTCCTTGATTGAGCTGGGAGTCTTCACGAGTCAGTCCAATCCCACTGCATCCCCCCGTGCTGGGTGTCCTGCCCGGCCCAGAGCCCTATTTTTGGGTTATTTTCACACTCCTGGGGGAGAGACACAGGATAAAAGGTACAGCTGTGCCCTTCCCCACAGGGACCCCAAAATCACAGCTCATTGTCCATTCCCTGCAGCAAAGCTTTAGAACTTCTGGAGGAGGAATTTCTGAGGACTGGGAGAAATTAATTCAAGACCAGGTGGAGACTTCAGCAAAGCAGGAGAACAGCTGCCACTTCAAAAGGAATGCTGGTCTTTGGAGGGGGAAATGGCCAGGCTATTTATAGGCAATTAACTAGACAATTTAACTCTGGGCTGATGCTATGCAAGAGAAATTCTGCTGGCAGTGGCGGCAGGGAGCAAAGCTGTACTGCTGTTTGGCAGCCTGGACTCCAGGGGAATGGTACCTCAAAGTCCAGGGCTGGAGAAATTCCACTCACCGGGTCAAAATCATGAATACTCCATCAATTATGGAGAAAAAAAAAATAGAGATTTCCTTGCAGGCGTTGTGTAAAGGAGCATCGCCACCTCCTGGGCACGCATGGCTCTGGGCAGTGGGAACGAGTTGGTCCTGGCCAAACCCAAGCCGTGGGAGCCCAGGGCAAGCAACGGCCATGGCTGTGCATTTACATGGATTCACAAAGCTTTCTCTGTCCCTCACACCCTCCCACGACGTATAAATAAAAGCAGATGCTGACGGTTCATCCTTTCCTGTTCTTAAGCCTCTCCAGCAATCCCTGCTCTTGTTTCCATGTGTTCCCCACAGACGCTGCAGATCGGACCTATGGGGGCGCACCTTCAGGATGTCCCACATCCTATGAACCCCAAATCAGGACATTTACACACTGTGTTCACATACAAACGTGCTCTCATTCCCAAACAATATATTTGCTCCTTATTTCATTCTCCACAACCCAGTTTGTCTTTCTATGGGAGGGGCCACGCCATTGCATTTTGTGCTTTACCATCCAGGACGGACCTTTCTTTCCATTTTCTTTTAGCTCCATAACTGCAAATTCTTGAGTTGATTCTCAGCTCCACCTGTCAGGGATAAATATGCACATGCCTGGGAAATCCAGCTGTGTTAGCTGAGCTGAGCAATAACCCAGGGAAATGGATGGGGGCGGGATGGCTGCTCTGTGAGCATTCCACCCCCCTTCCTCGGTGGGAAAAGAATATTTCTTGCCTACTATTAGCGATGCAGGTCTCATCTGCTTGCTCTGAGCTCGTCGGGAGGGAAAAAAAACCCAACAACCCAGCCAGGCTGGAGGGGAGGGCAGGGGGTATATATATATATATAGGTATATAGGGCCGGGGCGCGGGCGGCACGGGCAGACGGCACCATGCGACGGCTGCTGCAGACCCTCTGCCTGCTGCTGCTGCTGCCCTCACACCATGGAGCTGTCATCACAGGGGTAAGTGCAGCCTCAGCACACTGGCGCTCAGTATTTTGGGTCATTTTATGGGTTTTTTTCGGGGGGGGAAATAGGGCGCCAGTGGTGCTCAGCTGCTTCTCTTGCTCTCTGGAGTGCGTTGGTGTTTGATTTGTGTTGGGTACCGCTGTGTTTTGCTTCATCTGTGCAAAGGGGGGGCTGAATTTGCTGCCCTGAGCTCAGCATGCTTTGAACTTGCCCTACAATCTCCCACCTGCACCGTGCAAAGTCACGTTTGATGCGAACCCAACTGCCTGCCTCTCCCACCCTCCCTGTTTGCGCTGAGAAGACAAACACGAGGTGCTTGAACTCCTTTCCCTGTTTGCTTTGGGTCATTTTCTGCTTGGTTTTGCAATGTGTTGGTGCTGTTCCCTATCAATCCTGTTTCTTCTTCTCATGCTGCTCTGAGCACTCGTGAGTGTGAAGTCATCCCACAGGAGTGCAGCTTCTCCCTCTGTTTCACCTCTAAGCATTGGACCCATGCAGGGAAATGGGTTTCTTTTTCCAAGTGGGGAGAAAGATAGCTTGATGGGGAGAATGATCTTGAATTAGGCTGGGAGCAGGGCAAGGGCAGCCAAGCTGTGGTCTGTCATTCGTTTTTAGCATTATTTGGGGGCTAAGAGGTTTTTTGGGTGCTTGGGGAGAACTGGGTTGCTTTTGGGGTTTGAGCTGCAAGCTTCTCCCCTACGCATCGCTCCTTTTCTGCAAGCACATTGGACCTTCATCCTGCAAACCACCCCAAATCCAGGCTGCGCCACAAACCTCCCATCCCACCCCAGAAAGGATGAGCTGTGAGCATCCCTTACCTTCCTTGGCTGCTCCCCCTGACCTAGAGGGGGTGACCAGGGCTGTGTGGGGCAGGCAGGCTGATCCCATTGCCTTTCCCCAGGCCTGCGAGCGAGACCCGCAGTGCGGCAGTGGGACGTGCTGTGCTGTCAGCCTCTGGCTGCGGGGTCTGAGGATGTGCACCCCGCTGGGGCAGGAGGGGGACGAGTGCCATCCCTTCAGCCACAAGGTACCTGGGGGTCCCGAGGGTGGGGGTCCAAGCACTGGGTGGGAAAATGAGCTCAGTGCATAGGAGGGAATCTCAGTGCATCCTGCGGCGTGGAGAGGGGATGGGACAGGTTTGGGATGAAGCTGTGGGCATCGCTATGGGGGTCTGCAGGGAGGCACGGTGCAGCGCTGTCATCCCATACGGTGTTTTCTGCCTGTCCCCACCGCCCTAAACCTGTAGAGTGCCTTGGGAGCAGGGGCTGAGCAGCCCGACACATTCATTTAAAGCAAACTGCTCCGAATTGATTTGTAAATGCGCTGCCAAGCGGGGAGACGCCTCGTTAATACCTCAGAGCCGCCTGAGCGCTGCGCTCTCCATCCGACGAGAAGCCCCGACGTGTTCGGATTATCCCAAACTGCCATCCCTCTTCCAACTGCAGACACCCGGCCCCCGGGGGGCTCCTTCTCTGTGCCCACAGATCGATTGTGCGCGGTGGGGACAAAGATTTAATGATCCCATTCCTTCTGCTGAGGAGGGAACAAAAGCGGAGGGATCAGAAATTCATTTCAGAGGTATTGCCACGAAACAGCTGAAAAGAAGCAGAGGCAAATTCCCAGGGCTTTGGTCCTGCCTGATTGTTTTTCACTCGCTTGCAGCCCGAGGGCTGGCGCGGGGTCAGGGTTGGGTCAGGGTGTAGGTTTGGGTTAGGCTTAGGGTTCAGTCGGGGTTGCGTTCAGGATTTGGGTTAAGGTTAAGGTTGGGTTGGGGTTTCTGCATTCTGTCTCGCGTTTCTCTCTGCAGGTCCCATTCCTGGGGAAGCGCCAGCATCACACCTGCCCCTGTTTGCCCAACTTCAGCTGCTCCAGGTTCCTCGATGGCCGCTATCGCTGCTCGCTCGACTTCAAGAACTTCGACTTTTAGGTGATGGAGCTGCGAGTTTCATCCCAGCCTGCAGCTCCCAGCGCCCATTTCTCGCCCCTCTCTTTGCTCAGTGCACTGTATCCCTCCCCCCCCCCAGACAACCCTACAAGCACTTTTCCGAGCATTGCTACAATCCATGTGCATGGGGAAACTGAGGCACGGCCAAGCAAAGCTGCTCTGGCACATTGCTTAGCAAAGCTGTGCCCTCAGGGCAGATGGAGGACAGCAAATCTCTTTGACCTCCAAAATCCCTTTCATGGAGCATAGCCTGCATGCAGTGGATGCTGTCAGCCAGATTTCCTCCATCCTTTCTTTTCCTGATGAAATTTGGGAGGAGTGAACTTTCTCATCCAACCTGCAATGAAGAGAAACATCTACCAATTAGCTCGGCTAATTAGGGGTTGGGTTTTCCCAGGTGTTCAAGCTCTGGTGCAAAGCATCATGCGATGCCGTGTGTTTATTTGGAGGGGGGGGGGGAGGGGGGGAGTGGATCTGCTGCCCAATGGGGGTCTGTGGGATGTGGGGAGTTTTCTACGTCAGCTTCTATTTCTGGTGGTCAAATTTGAGAGGACAACGCATCCCTTAAAGCAGCAGCAGTGCTTGAAGGCAAAGCTGGCCGTGGGGCATGGAAGTGCTCTGTCCCCCCCCCCCTCCTCTTTTAGGTGCATTTTTACCAGGTTTGGTGCTATTGTAGTAACTGTTTCTGTTTCTAAGGATGCCCATTGGATGGCTGTGGCAGACGCTGTGTTGATGGAGAATGTAAAATCAACAAGACTGGGAGAAAGCTTCCCCACCCTTCTGTCTCCCCCAGTGAAATGCTGTATTTTGGGTGAAAATAAAACATTGCAATGCCTGGGTTGATTTTATTTCGTTGTGTGGTTTGTTGTTGTTGTTTTTAATCTGCATCAAAATAAATCCTTATCTCCATGAGCAGCTTGGCTAAGAAACAAACCTCGTGTATCTCGTTGGTTTGGAGGGGATCAGATATAAGGAGAAAGTCCTTTACTCGGGGGGTGGTGACGGGGATGGGAAGATGGGAATGGGCCTTCCTTTGTCCTGGTGGGTCTGAGCAGATGGGAATGGGCTTTCCTGGAGGTGTCCATGGCTGGGTTGGATTGGGCCCCGGGCAACCTGTTCTAATGCCTGGTTTAGTGGTTGGCAGCTCTTCCAATGGCTGGTGCTTGGAACTAGAAGGTCTTTGAAGTCCCTTCCAGCCCTACTATTCTATGATTCTGTGATTCCTTGTGTCCTGGTGGGTCTGATCTGATGGGAATGGGCGTTGCTTGTGTTTGAGGAGGATGCTGGATGCAACCCTGCAGCATGCACGTGTTGCTGGTTCATCCAGCCCTGCCCGTTCCCACCGCTGTCCAAATCAACAGAACAATTCCAGCTGCTTCCCATTACGCAGGTGAAGAAATCATCATGAATCCCTGCTTTACCCAATGCCAAGATTGGGGCCCATTGCAGAAAGCTGCTCACCTTGCAGCGGGGGGACGCACAGCATCACTTCAAGGCCAAACAGTGGAAACTGTGATAGGGGACTCAAACAACAGAGACAAAAGGGGTCTGTCAGCTTTGCTCCGCTATCATCAGAGAAACCCAACCCCTACTGTGATGCTGGTGGCTGCCTCTGGCTTTCGGGGCCTGGGGGGGCTCAAACAGGAGCTGATAGGGGGCTCCTTACACCCCCCTGCCCCAGCCAAGCCCCCAGTGAGCAGTGCAAGCTGATGCCTGTTGCAATTAGCAGCGCTGCTGATAGCAAGGTGCTCATTAAGGTGTTTAATCTTGGGTTAATGGTCTCCGTATCGCTGGGCACACAGCACATGGAGAGGGGTCGGCATGCTGCGGGGGTCACCTTCCCCATGGGCTGTTTGCATCCCACTTAACTAATTGGTTTTGCAGATAACAGCAGGCCAGGACGTGCAGGCAGCCCTCAGACCCATGTCCCCACACTGAGGGGCCCCCTTCCCCATTCCAACCTGGGACAGACCCTCTGTAGTTGGGGGGGGGGAGTTTGCACAAAGCTGGGGTCCCAGTGCTGCGTGTGCTTCAGATACCCAAATGGAAAGAGACTCCAAAATTTGGTGCCCACAGTCTGGTGGGGATGAAGGATTTGGGGTGTTAAAGGATGGGGGCAGAGCGGGAGCACCTTGCTGTCCCCACGCCCCTGGTGACGTGTGGAAGTTGGGTGTTGTTTGCCATGGGTGCCAACACCTGGGTGTCACCGGGGTACCTTGGCCGGGTGCCCACAGGTGGGGACGGCTCCCAGCCTGCCCTTGGCCCCACAGCTGGGGAGGACTGGGGTTATTTAAGCCACGGGGCATTTCTCCTTGCAACCCTGCATCCTTGGCACAATGCAATTCCTGGTGCTCCTGTGTGTGGTCCTTGCTCTCTCCGACGGCATCACCAGGTGAGTCCCTGCAGCATCGCTCTGCACTGATACCGGCACTGCCAGATGCCTGCTGCAAGCAGCCAGCTCCTGGCTCACTCTGTTTTTCTTTTCCAGGCTGCCCTTGGAGAGGGGGAAGAAGCTGAGAGAGATCCTCCGGGAGAAGGGCTTGCTGCACCGCTTCCTCCAGCATCACCACTACGACGTCGGCACCAAATTCCCGCATGCTTTTCCTGATGTTCTCACTGTGGTCACCGAGCCCCTGCTGAACACCCTGGACGTGAGTGCTGGCTTTGACCCACGGCAGGGAAGCCCAGGGGTGGTTTGTGGCACGCTCATCCCTGTGACTGTGCCATGCATGGACCAAATCCTGAAGGGTTTCTCCCAAAAGTTGATATCTTTCACCTCTTCCCATCCAGCAGCTGTGCTGCAAGCTGAGTGTTCCCATGCATGCACAGAAGGCTGCGAGCCTGGGGCAGATCCATGGCCAATTTATGCCCTAAAAGCATCTCTTGATCCTGTCCCATAGATGGAATACTATGGGACCATCTCCATTGGCACCCCACCGCAGGACTTCACTGTGGTCTTCGACACCGGCTCCTCCAACCTCTGGGTTCCCTCTGTCTCCTGCACCAGCCCAGCTTGCCGTAAGTAACAGTGGGCAGGACTCCCTATTTTGGCAGGGCAACACGTCCTGGGCTTACAGCTGCAGGATCAACCCAGATTTTTGGGGTGATGCTGCTCACAGATTGGAGGGCAGCAGAGTGAGGCTCTGGGTCCTGTTGGATTGGCACAACATGCTGATGGGATGAGTGTTTGGGGTGTAGGAGCTGCTGCTCCATGGGGTTCTACTCCATGGGGCTGTGTGTGTTGCCTCAGTTTCCCTATCTACCTCAAAGGAGTGATGGGTTATCCTACAGATCCCTGGCATTAGGATGCAGTAGGGACGTATAGCAAACGTTCACAGCTAAATTGTTCCTGCAGCAGGGTAATAAATGGCAGGTCTAAACAGCAATTCAGCAGGGTTCCGACTCCCACGCTATCCTTATGGCTCAGCCTTGCTGAAAATCTTCATTTTTGGTTTCCCACTTACCTTCTAGAAAGCCATCAGATGTTTAACCCATCGCAGTCCTCCACCTACAAAAGCACGGGGCAGAACCTGTCCATTCACTATGGCACTGGTGACATGGAGGGCACCGTGGGCTGCGACACCGTCACTGTGAGTGTCACGATGGCATCTCAGTGGCTTCTTCTGTGCCTTCTCCACCCAATTCCCACCTGCGTTGCAATGTCCCAGAGCTAACAGTGTTGTCCCCGTCCCTAGGTTGCATCACTGATGGACACCAACCAGCTCTTTGGCTTGAGTACCTCCGAGCCTGGCCAATTCTTTGTCCATGTCAAATTTGATGGGATCTTGGGCTTGGGCTACCCAAGTTTAGCTGCTGATGGGATCACTCCAGTCTTTGATAACATGGTGAATGAGAGCTTGCTGGAGCAGAACCTCTTCTCGGTCTATCTATCCCGGTAAGAAGCGTCAGTCCTGAGGGCTGGGGGAGGCAGCGAGTGGGTTTGGTTCAGATCATTGCACTTGCTGGGCATCCCAGCTCCTCCACTGCCACTGATGCTGTCTGGCTGCTGTCTGTGTGTCATGATGGATGGGGACAGGAGAGCACGCTGCTGCTGTGCCACGGCGCTGCTGATGCCCAGCAATGAGAATGTGATCGTGGTGTCACAGACAGCATCTGATCCACGGCACTCACAGCCCCTTGTTTTAAGGTGGCAGCCCTGGCAAACCCTTTGGTGTTTTTCTTTCATGTGTCATCCAGCGAGACAATGGGGAGCATGGTCATCTTTGGGGGAATTGATGATTCCTATTTCACTGGCTCCATCAACTGGATTCCTGTCTCTTACCAAGGTTACTGGCAGATCTCCATGGACAGGTAACGAAATGACTGCTGATTTATGTTCATTTCTAACCGTTGTTTCTTGAGAGACCCATGAACCTCATAGGCTTTCTGCTGGCGTAACACATCACGGTACAGGAGGCCAAGGGACCAAACCCCAACATGATTTGGTGATTCCCTGATGTGGGGATGCTTCTCCTCCACTGGTTCTTCTCTTGCACTAAGCCCGTTCCCTTGGGGCTGTGTTTGAAAGCATCACCAGGATGCAAGGCCTTGCCTCTTCTTCCTTCCCTCCTGCCAGCATCATCGTGAACAAGCAGGAGATTGCGTGCAGCAGTGGCTGCCAAGCCATCATTGACACTGGCACATCCCTTGTGGCTGGGCCGGCCTCAGACATTGATGACATCCAAAGTGCAGTCGGGGCCAATCAGAACTCGTATGGAGAGGTAAGAATCTCCACGTCCTCCTCTGTTAGTGCTCCATGCAGCCTGGCACACCCTGGCTTCATGCCTGCTTCCACACACAGATGCACCATATCTGCAGCAAACCATCCCTGCTGCTCCAGTCCTCCACAGGACTCTCCCAGCCTCCAGTTTACACCAACCAAATCAAATCCCCCCCCCATTTTGCCCCATCAACGTGTTGCCTCTTACCTAAGAGCCTCTTTGCTCTGCCCTCTGCAGTACAGCGTGAACTGCAGCCATGTCCTTGCCATGCCTGATGTTGTCTTTGTCATCGGTGGCATTCAGTATCCTGTGCCTGCCTTGGCTTACACCGAGCAGGTAAGGAGGAACCATGGCAACAAAGCCAGTCTCCATGTCCTTTTACTTTCTCCAGTGGCTCTCACGGCTTTGGCTTCTCCATGAGAGATGGTCATGAGCCTGGAGAGCAACCCAACAAAAAAGCTGCTAAGCCACCTTTTCCCCATTTGCCTCCTCTGGCTCAAATGCAGAATGACCAAGGAACCTGCATGAGCAGCTTCCAGAATAGCTCTGCAGACCTCTGGATCTTGGGAGATGTCTTCATCAGAGTGTACTACAGCATCTTTGACCGGGCCAACAACCGTGTCGGACTGGCCAAGGCTATTTAGATCTACTGAGATGACAGCACTCAACCAGACCATGACTGTGTTTTTCAGTGCAGCATGAGGTCTCGTGTAAGGTGTCCTTGCTTGCATGCAAATAAAATGTTGATGACGTGGAGTTGGTGGCTGCACATTTATTGGTGATAAAAGGGCAGGATTTAGGGAGGAGGTGTCATATACTTGCAGCTTCGTGGCAGTGGCAGAATTTTGGGACAGCTGAACAAGACTGGGGCTGCTGGGAGCTGAGGCTTTGTACTGGGAATGTGTCAGACAAGCAATACTGGAAGATCTCAGTTTCCATCCAGGGAAAGTGAATTCCCCACCCCAGACTTACAGACCCCCATTGCAAACCTTCTGCACACAGCTGTGCATGCGTAGAGAGGAAGTCTTGCTTCAATTTCTACAGCGTAGGGCACTCCATTGCCAATTGCTCCACCACTGCTATGAGCCCAATGCAGCAGGGCTCAGCAGCCCTGGTGGGACCAAGACCCCAGGGATCATCAAGCACGAATGAGAGTGGGGAGCACACACACACTGGGACTGCTGTCGTACTTTTATGTCTAAGAAATGTCTGTCCTGGAGTGCCATCTCGTGGCTGTGGTTCCAAAAATGTATTTCTGTGCATAGGGGAAGGGTGGAAATAAGTGGTGCCAAAAGGATGCCCCAAGGCTTGCTAGGAAATATTGCATGGGAGGAAGGAGGAGATGGTCCTAGCTGAAAAATATGTCAACCCTCCTTACGAGCATTGAAAGCTCAACGCTTTCTGCTATGAAATAAAAAGAGAAATGTGGTAAAACTGCTGGAAAGGAGCTGGGGGTTTCTCAGAGTGCTGCTGCCCCTGCAGATGCCTGGTGTGAAGAAGATCTGGTTGTAGGAAGTCCACCAGTCTGACCAGAAGCTCTGCAGCAGAGCAGAACCTGAGTTGGGTGGGTGTAGAATCTCAGCTAGGAGGAAAATCCCAGCACGTTTTACATCAGACTGGGAATGAGAATAAATAAAGAAATAATCTTTCAGCACTCCTTTCTGAATGAAACTGCAAACCAGAGATTGCTGGCACGTTGCACAGTGATGACGCCGACCCTTTAGGAGATGAGACACCGAGTAGAACAGATGTGGGATACAAAGCGGATGCGTCGACACTGCATGAGAAGCTGTGATTTTAATGTAGGCAGAAACATCAAAAAGAGCCAACCGAAACAGAGAAGTTGGAACAAAATGTTTTTGTCAGAAGAAAACCTGCTGGCATTAGAGAGAGCAGCATAATGATCTGTTTCTGTTTCTCCCCTTCAGAAGTGCCTATGGAAATCTGCACGTTTTCGAAAGCCAGAAGTGCCTTTTACAATGCAGAGCCAAGCTGTCAGGAAACGTCAGCCCTCATTACTCTGTGCTCCATTTGCAGCAACATAAGTGACAATAAAAGCTACAAGGTCACGGAGATTGGTCCCGAAGGGCGTTCGTGCACCAGATAACCCACAAGTCGAATGTTTGTTTGCATTAAAAGTCCCCCCCTGCCCTTCTCAGAGCTCAGCTGGTCCACCAGAACCCCCATGGGCACTGAGCCATGGCCCTTCCTTGGCAGCTGTACAGCTGCATCCCAGCCTCATCCCTCTCTTTCTAAATCCCTGCACCCACTGGCTCGGTCCCATCCATCATCGTCCACCCTGCTGTGCCACCAGCACAGACCAGGGAACTGAATCTGCAGAGGGAACATTGATAATGCACTGAGAAGAGCAGGGAGATGAGGCTAGCTCTGCCCCTGGGAAGCTGGGTGGCACCAGAGAAAGCATTTCTTGTATTTTTTCCCCTTTTTGCCTCTCAGCAAATGGGGAAAATCTCCATGCATGGGGGAACTGTGCTCTGATGCTGTGGTCAGGAAAGATGAATGTCAAACAGATGAGCATCGAGTAATAAGAAGCAGACCGAGGGGCAGGGAAGAGAGATAAGAAAGATGGTATTTATTTGAACAGCCACGGGAAATCAAAGATTGAAAAACGTCTAGAAAAAAAAATATAATAAATAAATAAAAGCAGCAGCGCATTTGGTTTAAAATGAAATAAAATAAAAACAACAACAAAACAGCTTGCAGATGTTGCATGCCTTATCCAGCCCACCCCACCTGGCAGCGCTCAGCTCTGCCATGGAAACAAGCATCACTTTTTGGCCTTGTCTCGAGGGTAACCCCCATTGGTCTTATTGAGAGACTCCATGCTGTCGTTGCCCGTCACCACACTGTTGAGTATCCTCTCCACCTCACCGGGCAGAATTTGCTTCTCTTCATTCTCTGTCTCCCTGTGGTAGAAATAGTTAAAGTTTGAGACGATGACGGGGACGGGCAGGGCGATGGTCAGCACTCCTGCAATAGCACACAGGGTGCCCACGATCTTCCCACCCAAGGTGGTGGGGCACATGTCTCCATAGCCAACGGTCGTCATCGTGACCACGGCCCACCAGAAGCCGTCGGGGATGCTGGAGAAATGGGACTGCGGCTCGTCCACTTCTGCAAAATAGATGGCGCTGGAGAAGAGGATGACACCGATGAAGAGGAAGAAGATGAGCAAACCCAGCTCCCGCATGCTGGCCTTGAGGGTCTGCCCCAGGATCTGCAGCCCCTTGGAGTGCCGGGACAGCTTGAAGATCCGGAAGACCCGCACCAAGCGGATGATCCGTAGGATGGCCAAGGACATGTTCTGCTGCCCGTTGAGTTCGCTCTGCTGGATCAGCTCAGTGGTGAGTGTCACGAAGTAGGGGATGATGGACACGATGTCAATGATGTTCATGATGTTCTTGAAGAACTCGGTCTTGCTAGGGCAAACGATGAATCGGACGAACAGCTCGAAGGAGAACCAGATGATGCAGGCAGTCTCTATGACAAAGAAAGGGTCTGTGAAGGTGCTGTGGGCCAGCAAGGTGTCCGTCGTATTCTTAGAAAGCTCCTGGGTGGACTTATACTCCCTTTCCTCTCTGAACTCTGGCAAGGTCTCCATGCAGAAGATGATGATGGAGATGACAATGACCAGGACAGAGACCAAAGCTACACCTCTGGCTGCGCTGGAGCTTTCGGGGTACTCAAAGAGCAGCCAGAATTGCCTATGAAAGTCATTGGTTGGTAAGAGGGTCTCAGGGTCCTTGATAAACCCTTCATCCTCCCTGAACTGGTCCATGGCTTCGTCACCCAGCTCATAGAAGGTGATTTCATCAGCAAAGACATCTATGGGTACGTTGGCCGGACGCCGGATTTTCCCACCGGATTGGTAATAGTACAGGATCCCATCAAAACTGGGCCTGTTCCTATCGAAGAAATATTCATTCCTCATGGAGTCAAAGTACCGCATCCTCTTCTCTGGGTCACCAAGCAAGGTCTCCGGGAACTGGTTGAGGGTCTTGAGCCGTGTCTCAAACCTCAGCCCAGCGATGTTGATGATGACTCGCTGGTCCCCCTCCTCCATCCCCACCCGCTCCCCCACCAGGTGCTCGCTGAACTCAGCAGAGAACCTGGAGAAAATGGTCTCATTGTTGGCGTTTTCACTGTTGATGAGGATTCTCCAGTTGGAGAGGAGGTTGGCGCAGCTGGAATGGCCTTTCCGCGACTGGCTGGCAGGGCTGAGGTCGTTTGAATAACAGGGATCCTCCACGATCTGATCAGCGTTGTCAAAACTGACTAGTGCCACCTCCATCTCCTTCCAACTGGACACGTCCATCATACACTAATCAGATTAGCAGCATAAATCCCCGGGTCGAATGCCGGCAGCTTGCTTCTTTCCCACGCTATGAGAATCTGCAAGCAAACAGGGAGACAGATGAACTGTGCATGTGGCTCACTTTGCTTGGCCAAAGGGAATGAAACAAACCTGAGGTCAGAAAGCCCCAAGTGTCTTAAAACACTCCTTAATTTCATCTGCATTGTAGTTCCAGTGTATTTTATCAGATCCTGTGGGCCCTGTCGGCACAGCTTCGTTGTCATCACTAAACCTCTCAATTTCTACAGCACTCAAGGACAGAAGGTCAAGCAGCAGCACCAGGTGGGGAAGGATCCAGGTTTTGCCCATCCATCCCAAGCTTTGTTTGTTACAGCCTTGCTCCAGCTGGGAGTAAGACTGGTCAAACTGGAGGTGCTGGGTGACCTGGCATATGGGAATCAGTTCCCAAAGCAGAGGTCAGGAGAGGTTCTGAGCAGCACCAACCATGAGGAAGGCAGGATGGGAGGAGAAGGAAGCATCTGTGAGCCTCAGAGAACTCCTCTGTTCTGCATGAGGAGGGGCATGAACTGGGACTCCTTGTATAGCTCCAGCACTCGGGTGGGTGGTGACCCAACTTGAGGTTAACAGAGAGAAATCCTGGGAATATTTACACCCAAAATGCATTCATCCTGGCCCCTACACCCATTTATTTTCCCCTCCTTCCCCCCTTCAGCTCTCTCCCCTCCGAATGTGTTTTCCAGTCATACAGACGAGAGGTGCTGCTCCATTTTCCACACGCTCACTAATCACCAAGGACACACTGGCTTTCTTACCCAGCAAAGTTCAGCAAGAGGGACTGAAAAGCCCAAATGCCCTCAATTGCCAGGAATAGCAGTGCAATCCAGGCCACGTCCGCATGGGGACCAGTCCTGCACTGGGGCTGTGAGCACACAGTTGTGCCTGAACCACCTCACCGAGCCTGAGCCACTGGGGCTCCAAATTGTTCCCCACGCTTCCCTTAGGACAGGACTCATCTGCCCAGGCTGGGACCAGCTGGAAAAACAAATCTGCTGGAGGAGATGTTAGCATTCTAGTTAGCTACCAATCCTCCTTCTGAGCATTGCAAGCTCAAAAGCAGAACTTTGTACAGGAGCCGGTGGTGTCCAGCTCTCTTTGCTTGAATGAAAAACACAGAGCAGGGCTGCTCATAGGTATCTCCCTGCAGCTTTGCTTTTGTACCCATTTTCTTACATGGAGACACAGAGAGAGGAGCATTCGGGGCAAGGCAGCTGAAAATAGAGCTAGGAGAAGCAGCAATGTGTTTCAGACCTGGGGCAAAGATGAGCAGCTCCAGAACTGAGTCCTTGAGCCCAGGGATGGAGTTGGCCAGGGTTAAGGTGAACCCAAGGTGCTGCAGCTCTCCATGGGTTCAGCTCACACCCGAGGTTTCGGCAGCTCAAAGCTGCTGTGAGCAAGGCGAGATGCAGCTTTGGGGCAGCCCACATCTCTGTGTCCACACAGCATCAGCAGCCAGGCTGGGAGGAAGGATGCTGAGAGCAACCCAGCCTGAACAAGGCTCATTTGGAGGGAGAAAAAGGCACAGAGAAGACGAGGAGAGCTGATCTCACATTCATGGCACCTCACCCCTGCTGCAGCCCAGGAGGGAACCTGTGCCCTGGAGCCTCACTCAGCATCCAAGAAACCTTAGGGCAGCTTAAGCTGATTGTGAAACTGCATCTGAAGTCAATACCGTGAGATGATCTTGGCTTTAGAAAGCATTAAGGGTGTTTAACTCCTAACAGCGTGCAAGAAGACTTCCAAGCCCTTGCTTCTTCAGCCTAAGACTTCGAGGAGGTTGCGATACTTCAGGATCTGGCTCTGCTCTGGAGCCCATGTGCAGATCACACTGAGCCCTGGCACCATCCCTCAGGGCAAAATGAAGGCAAAGAGCAGGAATGGCACTTCTTAGCTCCCTTCCATGCATTTTAGCCCCATCTGCAGCCATCAGGGACCTGGACAGGCAAAGCAGGGCTGTGACCCTCATCTCAATGCCTTCAGACCCCCAAAGCATGCTGACATCTGCCTGTCCCCACACCCAGAGACCACTGTCCCACCTGTCCCAGAGCCCAGAACACCTTTTCTGTCTCATTTTAAATTTAGACCAAATTAATGGCACTTCCCAAAGGCACAAAGCAATCTCTCCAAGCAAGAACAGAGCCACATGCTTTGCAACACGCGCTCCAGGCTCCAACGAGAAAGTCGTCTCGTTTTTTCCTCCTAAATCACCTAACATCTGCTTCTCAGAATCTGATTAACTAATACGCTTCATCCAAAATCCCTGGCTGGGAAGGGGAAAAAAAAACGGAAAAAAAAGCCACCAAGACAGAGAAACTGCAAAAGACAAAGGTCATTTGAGAGAGAGCTTGCGTTTTCCCCATCAAATCCCGATGGCAAGTGAGGAAATGGGGAGCGTTGTGTCCACCATCCCCTCTGCAACCACACACCAACATCCCCATCCACGCATGTCCCCCAGCTCTGCTCCCATCCCCACTCAGACCTCACACACGTGGGCAAGTGACAGCGTTCTCTGAGGTCCCCATAGAGAAGCAGAGGTGCTGAACTGCCTCCCCCCGCCCCCTCCCCATCACCCCTCTGCTCCATGAGATGTGCAGTGATTTCTCCCATAGCCCCCCCCCCGCAGCATCACCTACAACTTACCCACGCAGGGCATGGAGGTGCCAGCGCTCTCTGCATCTGGAAGGAGAGTCGTTAAACACACATAGGGACGTGTAGAGGGGAAAAAAAAAAGAAAGAAAGAAAAAGGAAAAAAAAAAAAAAACCAAAAACCAAACACCAGCCATACCCTTGAAAGGTCCCGTTGGGATAAAGCAGGCAATGTCATTTAGAAGTCTCTCCTCTATTTGGTTCACTGTATAATTGGCAGCCCAGCACGCCAGGGATGGGCTTTGGCAGCATCCGATGTGGTTTGGAGCCTCGGCCCCACCGTTGCCTCGGGGAAAGGCACCTGCTCTGCCCTACAAAGCGCCGGGGGTCCATCGGGAAGGGGGAACAGGGGGCACCCAGGCCCCCCACCTCCTTCCCCCAGCTGCTCGCCGGGGGAGGGACGGTCCCTTCTGCCGGATGCCACCTTTAATCCCCAATAATGCTCCGGATGGTCCAGCGGGGACAGGTCTGGTCGGTGACGTGGTGAGGTCTGAGCCCAGGAGGGAGGCAGAGAGGGGGACGGTGACCGAGCACCGCTGGCACCAGGACAGAGATTTAGAGCAGGCGGTCAGGCTTGTTTAGCATTAATATACACCAACAGCATTAAAAAGAAGAGAGGGGGAAAGCCCGAGGGCTGGAGCACCCCCATGTGCCCACCTACCTCTTGCCTGCAGCCATGGATGCAGTGGGCTCCTTTTCAGGAGGGGACGGCTGCAGTGCCACCGCCATGTGGGACATCCCGACCCCCCCTGATGTGACAAGGAGCAGCCAGCACAACCCCACAAGGCACTGACAGGGACAACGCAGGGAGGGGACAAGCAGAGCCATCAGATTGTCACCCCGAGCAGTGAGAAAGGAACGACCCCGTGGGATGTCACCGTGAGTCACCAAAAGGAACTGAGACTTCTCTTCTCCTGACCCCACCTCATCCTTGCTGGGTGACTCTGCGCAGGGCCACCTTCACACCAGTGAGCCCACATCTTCCTCTTCCCCAGACCTCTGTGTTTGGACACATTCCTGCCCGTGTGCCACAGCCTCAGCTCCTGCACAGCACTGCTCCCTTGTTCCCGTGGGACCTGATCACCTCCACCTCCCCCAGCTCTCTGCTCTGTCCTCAAAGCCATTTTCCACTTGTGATGTTAACGAGCACATTAAAACACAGCATCCCATAGAAGAGCTCAGCACCCACGGGTTGGGGCATCTTCAGCTGAAATCTGGGCATCCACACCTACAGCCAGCAATGAAAACGGGCCATAGCATCTCGCAGACTTCAGGGTTGGTTTGTCATGTTCCACGTCCCCTTCTGCACCCCTAGAGTCCCTCCACACTGGGGATCCATCAGCAGAAAGGAGTTTAACCAAACTGTGCTCAGCTGAGGGGACTTGGGTTGTGTCAGGATTTCCCCACCCCCAGCCAGGTGCCCCCATCCTCCTCCCACGCCTCCGGCCCACTAATCCCACCAGCAGCAGCTCCTGGCATCTGCTGGGATTTATCCTTTAGGACAGTGTTGCTCCTGAGGGCGTCCTGCAGCCAGGGCAGGCATCCAGAGAGCGTGGCTGCATAGCTCTGCACACACAGCTCTGCTGCAGGAGGGCAGGACAGACCTGCAGGGGGACTTTGCTGGACTGTTCCCAGCTTTTGAACAAAGTGATGCTTGCACAGACCTCTGCAAGCTGCTGTGCTCCGCTCTGCACCAGCCAGACCCAAGCTCCAGCTCACAGACCAAATTAGTGCAGTAATTAGCCCCTGCTAGCTTTCCTCATTTTTAGCGGAACTAATTAGCTGGGGTGCAGCACTAATTGCAGCTCCTGGGTTGGGCTGGGCTGACTCTGTGGCATCTTCAGGACATATCAGGGTGACTTTTCCATATACCTCAGCACTGTGTGGTGTGCCCCTAAATCAGAAGTGCCCCCAAACCAGCACCAGGGCAAAATGTGGGGAAGGGGAGAACATGGGAGGCTTGGAATTGAGAACATGGAATTCACAGAGAGCACAACACAAACCTTCACTCCTTGATGTTCTGACTCCAGCACTGAGGCTAATGAGCCAATGATACTTAAAGGAGCTACAGAACACCCTGGCACCAGTGAACCTAAAGTCCCACCTGTGACACCCACGTGCACAGAGAAACCTTTGCTTTTGAAAGGAGAGGTTAAGATGAGCCCTGACATTTAAACCCTTTAATTAATTGCACCATCAAAGAAATGCTTGGGCTGAACTGGCAGCCACCAAATTCTGAGCCCCAGCCTCCTCTGTGCCTCAGTTTCCCCACCCACAACAGCACTACATGCTGCATAGCAGCCCCACATTGAAGGATGCACAGGAGGAAACTTGCAGGCTGGATTCCTGGTGCAGGATACAAGCGTCCCTCACTGCCAGCATGCCCAGCCAGCCTCCCTCTGTACATCCCCCCCTTCTGATTTTTCCATATATATATAGGATATATATATGGAATATATATATATATAAACCAGATTACCAGAGGGCCCAGAACGTACAGTCCACACCATGAGACAGATGAAACCTTTCTGATACCCAGCCCAAATTAATCAGCTACGGATTAACCGGGTCAGGAAGCAATTTAATAACGAGTGGGGCTGAGCACAGCCATCCCTGCACGGAGGGAACCAAGTGCTCCCCATCACAGGTGCTCAATTCAAAGCTGCTGCAAAGCCAGCCCGATAGCAGGAAAAGACAGATGGGGCAAAAATGAGCTCTGCAGCGAGGCAGGCTGCAATCACCTGGGTCTGATCCAAGCCCTCCCCACCTTCCCCACACCCAGCATGGGAGTTTTTAGCCTGATTCAGAAGAACAGAAAAGGGTTTAAACGGGCGCTCAGCAGGAGGCACGCCTCGGCGCCTCGCGGCGCTGCTGAATGGGCTGATGGAGGTAACGCGATCGAGGAGAGTCGATGGCGAATCGATGGCAAAGTTTCCCCCATCTGCCCCAAAGTGCTGCGGGTTTGGCCAAGCCTGGGGTGCAGCACTGCGACCTCCTCCTGTTCCTAGGGATGAGCAGCGTCCTGAGCCCACTGCCATCAGCACTAACCCTCCTGGGAGGCTGCGGCCGAAACCAAAAGTGGATGGATGGTATAAATGGAAAGCAATAGGAAGCCACTAAGTGGGTCACGCTGATACCTGCATCGATCCCGAGCTTTGCAGCAGTGGCAGCAGGAGGAGGAGGGGCAGGGGTTGGGGTCATTTGGGTTGGCAGCACTTTGCCAGAGAGCAATGCAGCTGACCCAGGGCAGTCATCCCAGTCCTGCAGCCCCATCCAGGGAAGGACATCATAATTTGGATGCAGCAAGAACAGAATTAAGGTTTAAAGGGACTGAGATTGTCAATGGGACCCTGTGGCTCCTGACGCTCCCAGCACACCCTCAGCATCCCAGAGCAACCCTCAGATTCTCCAGCTTTTCTCCAAGGACAAACTCAACTTGATCACCATCACCCCAAAACCACCCAAAAGGAGAACAGCGAACCCCCCAGACCCACCTAATAACCCCTCCTCCTCCCTCCCTCCCCACCCCAGCCTTTTAACCCACTGCAAAGAGGAAGGGAGCAACAAACCCAGCTTTTGCATCATCTTCATCCTGCCCCAGGCTCCTGGTCCTACTGCCTCCTCTGCCTCTCCCAGCTCCTGGCTGTGGGATGCTCATACCCGTCCTGCACTGGGCAGAAAGGCGATGCCAGTGCCCACGTGAGCCCGGTGGGACTCCTTGCCCTCATTCTCCTTGTGCTTGAAATGGGATTTTGCTCCCTTGCTGGGTTCTGCTTACTCCCAGCCTGCCATCTCTGTGGCTGCCAATGCGTGCCTTTGCTTTCTGAGCAAGGGTGAGGAAGGAGCAGCACTAAGAAGAACATGGGGGGAAGCCCAAATGTGCCCCTTTCTGCTTCCCCCCCCCCCCCCCCCAAATGCTGCTCAGGGGGCTGTTTTGCCAAATGCAGTTGGGGCAGTGCTGCTTTGACATAGGCTGCATCCATTTACCCCTGCTTGGACCCTCCCATGCTCCCACCACCAGCACAGCTCTGGTTTGGCATCCCTCAGCCATGGGTGCCATTGAGCAGGCACTTCCTCATACACAGCAGAGTCCTGACTCTGCCCCAGTGCATGAAAAAACCCTCCATTACTGGGAACCCACATTTGCTTTTGGCTCCTAATCTGCTGAAGCTCTGCATCCCTTTGTGCTTTTCAATTGGATTTCTTGCTGTTTGTTTTACCCACTCCCCCATGGGTCAGGCAGTGGGGTCACCTTGCCTGTATCTGGACATGGACAAAAACAGCCCCATCCCAGTGCAGAACAGAGGCTGTAGGATGTGGCTCCTGGGTCCATACCAAGGATGGTGAGCATCCCCTATTGCCTTCTATGCAGGCTTCCGAGCTGCTGCCGCCCCAAACCCCTGCCTGCATTGCCTGCACACACAACCACTATTTGGGGGTTTTGGAAAACCAGCCCTAGAAAATCTCCCTTCAGTTTGTAGGGAAAAGGGGATGTCAGAGTGATAAGCAGCCTTTGGGATCCTGTGCCAAATCAGAGCTGGCTTTTGCCTCAGAGCAATTTCTCAATCTCCTCCCCATGACCTTTGGAAAAGCAAACAGCCAAACCCAGCACTGTTCCCTGACGTGGCCACCAAGTCCTGGGAGCTGGGAGCCCATCACAGTGAGGGCTGAACTCCATCTCCCACGTGGAGTGGGAATCACCCACTGGACACAGACTGCAGCAGTTCACTTTGATTTTTGGCAGTCTGACATGGGAAGGAGATCAGATCTTAGGGAGATTTTTGTTGAGAAAGCCGAGAAGAAAAACAGACACAAAGTGTAGGAAAGCCCCCACATCTGACATGTCAGGAGATGCCCGAAGAAAAATACATCCCTGCAAGCTGGGGTGATGCTCCATCCCACCAACCTGAGACCACATCCACCAGAATCAGAAGTGCTATCGACTCAAAATTACACAAATCCTTCCCAAATTCTCTGCATCACTGGGTAAACGCTGTACAACCCCACGTGGCTCACTGGAATCCTCATGCTTGGTCACTCAGAGTCTTCTAAAGCATCCTTTTATTTCTAGGCGAGATCAAGCCAAGATAAAAACATCCCATTCTCTCTCTTTCTCCTTACTGCAGAGTGAATCTGATGTAATCTGCTCCGTATTTAATCCATCCTGCCCCTTTTTCAGGTTAAACCAACTGCCTGGCAGCAATAGAGCTCAGCCTGCCAGAAATGCCAGTGAATTATTTTGCCCCACTCCTTACGGTTTAGCGCGAGCAAACTGCATGCAATGAATATTTCCTCATGCCTTCAGTGCTTCTTTCTGCAATAAAGCAGATTGCAACAGCCGACCATTTTCTAATGGAAGACTTGCAAAGCATTCAAAGCCATTAAAAAGATCACAGCCAAGAGTAACTACTTTATTTAAGTCCTGGAAAAGGAGCAAAGGCTGTAAATGCAGAAAGCACAGAGCGTATCTGCTTGGCTCAGGCAGGAACCCAAGAGCATCCAGAACTCCTGTATCAGCACAGCTGGTGAACAGCCATGAGCCAAGCACCATTTTAACAGGAGATAAACGGGAACCTTGTCAACCAGGTGGTTCCTCCCCACCCTACTGGGGATGAAATGACATTAAGAGTGGCTTAATAGAAGCGGGAACACCCCACAGGTGTTGGGCTCTGGTGTATTTTCACGGTATCGTTAACACCACACAAAATTTTACAGGTGGAATAAAGGTAATTAACAGCACTCACTCACCTGCAGCCAGGATCAGGCAGCCGAAATGACAGCTCTTCTTCCAGCAGTAGGAGATCCTTTGGGTGGGTACGGATGTGTTGGTGTCAGCGCGGCTCTGACAAGCAGGTAAGGATTAGAAAGAGTTTGTCTCAGGAAAGACTCAGATTCAGAAATCCTATACCCTCGTGAAACCCTATCTTGCCTTGCTGTCCTTGGTTTTAAAGGAAACATAGGGAAGAAACACAGCGCTGCAAGCAGAGCTGTGCTGACTGCACTGACGCAACTCCAGGGTGCAAAGAAACCAAAACTCTTCTGCAACCAACCCTGAGAGGGGAGCAGCCCTGAAAGGAGAGCACCCACGAGCTCAGCGCCCAAAGGACAGCTTCAGAATGCGAGAGCAGAGCTGCCCCCATCACCGCTCCATGGACATCAAACACACAGCATAAGGGAATCCCCTCACCTCTTCCCAAGGGATGACAGATGAATATACTGAGGACCAGTCGACTTGTGGCACTTCCACATCTGGGGGCCTTTCGGAGGGGTTCCCAGGAGGTGTTGAACATTTCTCAATGCAAGAAAACACAGAAATCAGTCACACACTGAGCTCTGAGTGGCAGCATCCAGCAGCAGTGGGGAGGAGGTGAGGCAACCCAGGGTCACAGAAGGGTGTCCCCATTAGAAACAGCCCACCTTGTTCCCTGAACCACCAAGGAAGACCAAGGAAATAGGAGCTGCTCAGATGGGGTCCTTTCAACACTGCTGCATGGTGTCTTGGTCACTACCCTAAAAATATGCCTCCAAGTGCATCTGACTCCCTAGAATACATGGGATGGGTTGTGCCTCTCTCTTGTACAACATGCAGAGAGGAGGATGGGAGGAAGGCACACTCTGGATTCCCAGCAGGAGAACCATGACTTTGCTGGGATGAATTGGGTCTTCTCCACCTCCCCTTGCTGCATTCAGCTGATGTGCTTCCTGTTATCAAACATCACCCCCAGTCCTGCAGTAACCACGACTGGCAAGAGGTGGAAGGGAAGCTCCATTGCTCACCCAAGTCATCAGCTTGGCCGTTCCCCTTTCACCAGGCAGACCCAAAGCATTTAGGCACCATCCAAATCAAAGCATGCCTGGTGCCCCTAAGAGGCATTCCCACCTCACAGGTACTTCCCAGAGGTTATAATTACAGCGCAGTAATGGGGGGAATCACATTAATTACTTGCTCAGCTGAATGGTGATAACGAAGGCACGGTGCCGGGCGAGGGACATATCAAGAATCATGTTAGCATGGCAAGTGGCACAGGAACACCCAGAAAGGGTGATGCTCTGCAGAAAGGCCTGAAGTTGTTACAAGAACGTTGGGAGACTTGATACAAAAGGCCAGCTTATTAATAGCTAATAGGCAAATGAATTATGTACCCACTCGGGTGGATTGTGTTTCTCCCTCCTTCCTGCACTCTGCTGTCTCCATCACCACCTTGGTCTCTGTCCCACATGGTTCTTTCTTCTTTATTTTCACGCTTTGTGTGACACAAGGACTGACTCGTATTTGCTCAAAACTTCAAAGCTCTGTCCAGCTTCTCCCAAGGTTTTGGTTGCCTGCACCTTTCCAGACCACAACAGGTATCAACAACCATGCTGACATCCCCTGTATCAGACATCCCCAACACCCCAGGGCTGCTCCTGCTCATGGGGACCCACCGAGGCCCTGGAAACACCAAGCCTGAAAGAAGAGCTCTGGGCAGCAAAACAAAAGCTTTCTTTGGACCTGTTTTCAGAATGCAGCCCAGCCTGCTTGCCATCTGCCCAGCACCAGCAGGAGCAGCCTGAGTCCATCCATGCCTGCAGCCAAGTGCCAACAGCTCTGCACCCTGCACGCTCCAATGGGCCTCTGGCAGGCAGTAAGGTGAGGGCAAGGCTAGGCAGTGATGCAGGGGAAGAAAAGGGGCATGCACCTTTGTCACAGATCCTAGCATCCCCAGAACCCCAACCAGGATGTTGGAAAGCTTAGCCAAAAGTAGTTAAAGCAGGTTTGCTTTGTGTTGCCTGCTTTAGTCCACCGCATTTCCCTTCTGGTTTGTGTGCAGCGTGCTGCTGCCTGTCTGATGGTGCAATTACTATCATTCCTCCTTCCTTCTTGAGCTGGGAACATAAAATCATAGAGTCACAGATCATCCCCAGTTGGAATGGGCCCACACAGATCACTGAGTTCAACCCCCAGCTCCACACAGCACCACCCAGCCCCAAACCCTATGGCTCAGAGGGATGTCAAAACACTCCTTGAGCTCTGGGAGTTCATTGCTGTGCCCACTGCCCTCAGGCAAGATGGATGCTCCTATGGAAGAACCTTTCACTAGAGGATCGAGCTCCCCCAACACATCACTGTGCATTGCAGCCTTCCTGGTGGCAATACAAAGCCACGTTCCCTGGGTAAGGCGAGGATCTGGGCCACATCCATAGCAAATTCCATCCCCAGTCTGGGGTGAGGAGCATTCAGAGCAGAGCTGGGAGCAGAGCGCAGTCCCTGTCCCAGCTCCTCACCCCCAGGATGGCACCATCCAGCACTGAGCCCAATGCTGTCCCTTCTCTAATATTTCCTGATCGCTTTCTCTGCCCGCTCTGATCTCAGAGGCCATGCTATGCTATCCCTCTGCCTGGGCAGCATTTGGCAATCTGATCACCGCCTCCTCCTCACTAATCACCCCGCATCCCGCTCTGACCCCGATGATGTTCCACCCTCTGGTTCTTCATTGCCCAATTTGACACTGCTCCATCCACAGCCAAGCTCCTGTTCGCCGCCTGTTACCTTCCCCTTGTGTTTGCATAACCCCAACTCACGTCACAGCAGCTCCCAGCCACCAAAATCCAGCTATTCTGTATCAGTAATGGGAAACTCTCAGCACTGCCTTTGACCTGAGCACACATCTCTTCCTCCCTGGGGAGAGAGCATCTTCTCACTGCCACCCACGAAGGAGGAGGACATGGCAGCATCCATCTCCAGCCCTCAGCAAACCCCCACATCTCCCTTCCCCATGGAGGCACTGTTGCTGGACTGTTTTGTGCCGACCAAAGGCCAAGGAATCAGCAGCAAAGGGAGAAGTTTCACTTACTTTGTTTCTACTGCTGGACCAGAGCAGGGATGTTGATGTGATCGTCTCATCCATGGGAAATTTTGGAACCTCGTAAGCAAAGGAGAAGGAAGTAGTTTCTTTTCAGAAAATCAGGAGACCCAGCTGGAAAAATCAAAGGCAAAGGTGGTGAAAAGGGAGGTGGTAAAGCAATCGGTGGCCCTGCAAACAGAGGAGAGATGGAGGAGCATGGGGAAAAGTCTGGACTGGAGTTGCCTTGTGTAGCCTCAAAACACCATCCAAGGAAAACTTATAAATGGGGAAACTGAGCCACAGAGCTGCAAAATCAGCACTTTGCAAAGAGCAAGAGAGGTGCAGGCCTGCTCCCTCCATCCCTCTGCCAACACACAGACAGCAAACTGGGGGAGCTGTTCCCCACTGGGGTCACTGCTGCTACCATCAGTCAGCTCCCAGAAGCAGAAAAGGCAACAAATACATCCTACCACCTCCCAGTGCTGGAGAAGTGACATAAAAATATGCATTCATATCTGTATCTGTTTTGCAAGGGGAAAAGCAAGGAACTGCAGCAAAGCCCACCTTCAGACCCCAAAAGCCAAAGCAGCACAGGGGCTTGGGCATCGATGGGTCATTCATTGGAGATCTATACCTGCCAGGCTTGCCCTCTTCAGTTTGGATAGTTATCAGCTTTGCACTCTTTTTAGGGAAGGACTCACGCAGTGCTGAGTGCTGCTGGCACTTTGCATGGCTTTATCCCCCCCTTAAAGGGGAATTCGCGCCCCTCCTGGAGGAGCTTTAGCAAAAAGCAAAGAGAAACGGATCAATCTCTCTTACATCCAGAACGAAATCCAACAGTGCCCCTCTCTGGGGGATGGAAATACAGCAGCTTAGCTCAAAACGGTTCATTTTCACAGCGTTGCTTCTCTAAGGGAAAAGAGAACACATTTTCTCTACCTGCACATACATAGAGAGGTGAAAGGAAATGCAAACGCATGCATCTCCTATAGGTGAAAGCACAGAAGGACAGGTATTGAAGCTGTTTGCTATAGCTCACCACACAGCCTGAGAACTCCCTTATGTGCCAGGCTTGTTTCTTGCTTGTGAATGAGATGCTGAGGATGTGGGCTAAATGCAGAGCTCAGAACACAGCAGGCCATGCCATACACCTGGATCCTTGCCGTGGGGAGGAAGAGAAGGGTGGAAATACAGGAAAGGAGCCCTCCTCTACCAAACCTGTTGGATTCAAACCATCCAGGGAATCGAGCACCAGCTCTCATGAGAGCAGTTTCGTGTTCTGGACACCAAATCTGTATAATTCTACTGAAAATCATTCATCCTAATGGAGGGCAGCCAGGTGGTACCATACCTGTGGTGCTGCTGACACTGGGAAGCCCCATTCCCCTCTCCCAGCCCATCCCTCTCACCTGATGCAGAAGCACTCACGGAACTGCTGCCTTCAGAATGGAACAGGCTCAGCAGAGGGCTCCCACAGCCCAAAACCTGCTTACAAGACATCCACAAGATATCCTCCCCACAGCAGATGGACAGATGACCTGCCACACCATGCATCAGCTTCCTTCAGAGCCTCATGCAGCCAAGAAGTGATGGGAGAAGACCCATCAGGCAAAGCAACAGCATCTTTGCTCTCATTCATCTGATTCTCTGCCTCTTATCCTCTAAACTCGAATTTGAAAAGCTGCAGTGGATCAGCAGCAAGGATAAACCTCAGAGCAGGGGTGCTCCTGGAAGTTGAGAGGTGCAAGCGCCTTCTGCAAAACTCACTTTCCCTAGGGCTTAAAAGAAACTGCTACAAAACAACTCTGCAAAACTGGCTGCTGGGAAGCAGAACAAGCCCCAAACCCCCCACCTCCAACCCAGATAATTCAGCCCCTCTCTGCTGCCCTCACCACAGAGCACCTGGAGCTGTAACCACCAGCCCCAGAGCTGACCCCAAGCTGCTTTCCTTCTTCCCAAGTCTCTTTTCAAACCTCAGGCAGGTGGAGCTGCTCACCAGATTATTGGCCTCGTTTCTCGTGTGCCTGAATAACCCACAGCCTTCAAACCACGTGAAGCCCCTGTTTTCCTGCCGACTGGGATCAGATGCGCTGGCTAGGCTGAAAATCTGGGTGCAAATCTAGGAAATGGGCAGGGGATGGGGAGGAAAAAGTGTTAATGTGGAGCACCTGTGGTGCTGGGTGTTCTGTTAGAGCTCAGCTCTGATGCTGGTTGCAGCATCTTCCCTCCCCTTCCTCTACTAAGGGTGAAAGTGAGCAGTGATGGTAGCAGAGCATCACTGCTTTGTTCCCATCCCTGTGTTCTTCTATGGGCAGCCAAGGTTGGCAATGGGACCTGGGGCAGCTGAGCCCCATCAGGATGCAAGATGTGCTTCCCCTGTACACATCCCAGCTGGCAGTTGGCACCTGGCACACTGAGAGCCTAAGCAGGGGCTGATGTGGGGTTTCCAGAGCCTGGTCTGGGGGTGTTGGAGCCCATTGAAATCCCACGTTGGTTTGCAGCTGCCTCCAGTTTGGACACACGGGCAGGGATTGGCCTCAGTGCAGTGAGAAAGGCAAAGTAACAACTGCTGTTCTGGGCCCAGCAATGACTAATTCTCCTCAGGGAGCAAGGAGATAATTATGGGTCTTTCCCAAGGAAAGGATAGCCCTTAATTACGAGGCTGGGTAAGCCCTCAGTGTAACCTGAATTTCTCTCCTGCTCCCATCATCTCCTCATATCCCCAGCTGTTAAATAGGAACGGTCTCTCACTCACACCCCATGATCCTGCCCTCGCTGGGATAACTCTGTGAGATTCATTACATAAAATCACTTTAGCACTTTTCTGATTATGGCTGAATAACAGCATAGAGGATCCCTGGTGCTGGTATGTGGCCACTCATCCACAAGCAAGGAAGCACAGCCTTTCTCACCTGCAAAACCCTGAAGCTTCCTCTGTTTGCAGACTGATAACACAGAGCATCAGGCTGGGTGTGCAACTGCTGCTGCTCCAACACGGGGCACCCAAGGGTTCACTGCTCATTTCCCCCTGGGGAAAATGCAAGGAAACCCCCTCCCAGGAAAGGCTGAAAGCTACTGATGGCGATGAAGAGCAAGGCTGATCCCTAGAACACTGCAGAGTGGCTGTGGCAGACTTGGGGAAACTGAGGCACAGAGGCACTGCTGCTGAGCCCAGTGCCAAAAGGATGGGAACGCAGCAGATAGGAAGAATCCCATACTCTGCATCTCCTTGGCTGCCTGTTCCCCTCGTGCTGCTCTGCCAAAGGGCCTGGGGAGATGGAAGCTGTGGAACCCAAGTTTAATTTTGCTCTCACTGGGGATGCAGAAGGCAGCAGAGCCACAAATCAAACGGCCCAGAGGCAGCTGTGGAGCACTGCACTGCGAGCAGATAAAATGCAACAGCCTGGAAAGCCAGAGAGGGCTGCATCCTCCTGCAGTGCAAATCGGCATTGCCAAGAGCCAGGGATGTCCTGCCCTTTGCAAGCTGCTGCAGCCTGCATGGCTCACTGGCCAAGCATGCTCCTGCCTTGCTTGGTTATCAGCTTTGCAAATTATGATGTTTTGCAAATACAACTCCTTTCAGAGCAGACAAGGAGATTGGCATCGTCTGCCCCATTGCCATCTGTAGCCCTGAGCGGGTTATTCCCTTCTGGGAGGCATCCAGATCAAGTAGCTCTGGGTGTTGGGGGAAATCCTGCCAGGGACAGGCGGGCCAAAGGGGATTTTCCAACTGCATTTCACAATTGAGATTTTTCAGCTCTCTTATTTTTGCCTCAAATTAATCCTTTGAGCCCTCGGGAAAAGTGTCTTGCAGGAGGTTGAGTTTTGCTTTCTGTGAGTATCTTTGGGGCTGCACCACCCCAATAAATTACTCACGACAAACAACAAGAATACGGAGGGATTCTCAGTGTATCCCCCATTTGCTGGAAACCATGGATGTGTGGAAAAACACTGCCTTGCAAGCCATGCAGGCTGGGCTACACGATGGCCCAGTGCTAGGCATGCCCAAAGCAGTGGCAGCTCAGGTGAATCCCAAAGCAGTGACAGCTAATGGGGATGCAGAGCCTCCTAAATGTTCCTCCTTCCCCTAGGAAGAGGCTCAGTGCTGAGCCTGGAGCTGTGCCTTAAACCATACTTGGTGTCCTGCAGCACCAGTGCACCTGGAAAACTCCAACATGCCCACAGGAGCACCCAAATCCAGGGGCATTTGCTGCTGGCCAGCTGTGCCAAGCAAGACCTGTAAGAGGAAAGAAGCATCTTGCACCAATGCTGGCTCCCTCTCACCATGCCCCACGCATGGGCTCAACCCCAAGACCCCCTTTTCCCTCCCCACATCCTCCAGCACTTTGCTCAGCACATCCTCTTCCAACCGGAGGAATCCTCTCTGCAAAACCCGAAATGCGCCGGCCAAGATAAAAGCGAGGCTGTGAATAATTCATGCCTCAATCTTTTTTACCACCGTCTGCTGTAAATATTTAAATAGCACCAAGATGTCTAGAGCTGAACTTCGGGAGGGTGAAGGGGAGCCTGCAGAGCGCTGCTGCGTGGTTTGCCAGGAGGAGGTGGGAAGGGGACAGAGGGGACGTTTCCTTGGCTTGGTGTGCAGCAGGGACAAGGGAGCCCCAGGGGGAAAAGATGGATTTACATCAGATAGCAAATATCCAAGCCTTTCTGTGCAACAACAAAAGGGCAGTTTGGAAAAGATGATAGGAAATAGGGGATTTTTTTGGATAAACGTTCAGCTTTCAGCGCTTTCCCCCCTTCTTCTCCTCTGCTGCCCCCTGGCTCAAAACCTCCGAATTTTACATGAATTTATAATGGCCACAAAATCAACAAGCAAATCTCCTCTTGCAGCTTGCAGCTCCCTGCACTGCACCTGGAAAAACAAGAAAACAACCTCTGGCATTGAAATAACACACAGCCCTGTGCCATCTGCAGGCTTCCCATGCAGTGCTCAGCCTGGAAGTGAAGCAAAGCCTTCAGGGGGTATTTAGGGTGAGGGTCCACATGTCCACCTGGGAGCACTGCACGAAGTGGGGATGCTCTCAACAACCCAAACCCCACTCAGTTTATTTCATTTGCAGGGCAGTGGTTCCCTGGGAAGCCTCCATGTGCCCAAACACTTCTTCTTGCTTTGGTAATTTGCAGCTTTGCAAGGGTGGTTTTAAATGTCCTGGGTACCTTTCGTTCTTGCATGTCTCCCTGCACGTATGAGGATGTGCACTGCAAAGCTCTGATCTGGCCACAGATCCCCATCATCCTTCTTCTAAGACAACTTCAGGGCTGGAAACAGCTCTCCTCTCTTTGGGTGCAATTTGGGGGCTGTTTTAGAATCAGAGTTTGGGACAGCAGAAAAAATGCAATTTGGAGGTTGGAACAAGTGTTGCTCTGAGCCGAGTGGTTCCCTTCATTGCAGCCTTTTGTGAGACTTATCCTGACCAATTTAACATCTGGAGACTTTTTTTTTTTTTCCCTAGAAAAAGTGACATTTCATTTTACAAATTCCCGATGGGATGCTTAGAAAACTTCACGTCTTTTTCCTCATCCCCATTCCCAAGCCAAGATATTAATCAAAACGTCGTGTTTTCCACAACAACAAAAACAGAAAAGGAAAAAAGAAGAGGCATTCGGTAAATGAGTCATTGTTTTTCAGTGAGAGAAAAAAAAAAGCAAAGCCATTTCCCCAGGCTCCACGCTCAGGAATGGCTCTGATCTCTACACCATCCTCTGTGGCCACAGCAGCTGCCTGGTCCTGGCCTGATGCTGGGGCTGTCTGGGTGTAGGAGCACACGGATGTTATTAAGGTATGGTTTCCTCTTTCCTCTGAGGTTGGGATTCAGATCTGCAGTTTCTTGGCATCGCTGGCTTCATGTGTTTGGTTTATTCCAGCCATACCCACTGATTTTGGAGCCTGCGGAGGGCAAGGAGAACATGCAGATGAACTGACGGCCAGCCTTCAGGTCAGCTCTTGGTCATTTCCCCCTCCTCTGGAACTCAGGTGAGAGGTAGGTATCCCAAAACCTCAGGGCTGATGGGGGACACCACCAGGCTTGGGATAAGGGCATGAGATGGAGCAGGATGGGGCCCACAGGGTGCTGAGTGCTGCCAATGGGACGGTCCCAGGTGGCTTCAGAAAAAAGAGAAAAGGGGGCAAAAAGAAGGGCAGGATCCGGCCCTGATCAATTCGCTGCAGAAGGCCGCGGGAAGGCTGGCAGGTTCTCTCTGTACTGAGTGGTTTATAGATTTTCTCTAAATAGGAATCTGCAGCTGCACGGCAGCAAGGAGGGTGCAAACGTGGCCTGGGGGGGATGGGGGCAGCGGTGGGGGCTGCAGGCTGGGAGCTCTCCCTGCTTGTGAGCAGGTAGGGATTGATGGGAGCACAGCCCAGCACATCCCCTCTTACCACCTGCAATAGAATCCGATGGTGCATGGCCACAAAGCAGGGATCCACTGCAGGGTGATCCCCAGTGGGTCGTCCGCCCCACCACTGCCTCCTCTTCATCCCTCCCCAGGGATCTGCGTACACTATAAGAGACCCCATGGGGAAGCAAGATAAAACCCAGCCCTCTACCCAAGCTAGGAGGGGCAAAAGTTGAAGAGGAGGTTTTTCTGATGCTTAAACACTCGTCTTCATCCCATGGGGAGCTGCACGCTGGTCCTATCTTGAAGGCATGGGCAAGGATTCCATTTAAGCCAATAAATGGTTGAGGGTGAGAGGCCTGGAGTCGGAGGGAAGTGACTAATCAATCTGCTCATCATTTATTTATACACATGGCAGTTGCAAGCGTGAGCTGAAGCGCTGAAGGCAGCAGGCAGCTGCAGGCTTTGCAGGAAGGCTTTGGAGGAAAGATGGGCAACCGAGGCAACAGCCTTCAGAAGAAAGTCTTATTTGGAAGGTCTGATCAATAGGGAGAAGGACCGTGCGAGACTTCTTGTCTCTCCTGAGGCCACTGAAAATCTCCCCATCCTTCCCAATGCATTTATGAAATAAGCAGGAAGTCACTAAAAAGGAGTGGCTTTGCTCCAGGGTGGAAACATCCCCAGGACATGCTGAGAAGGAC